TTCAAAGACGATCTTTCTCCTGTCCACTCTTACCCATTCAATGTGTGCCACATTGGCCCCTGGGGGGGATGGGGGTTGCTTGTCATTGGTGCCATTCACCTGTCAATCAGAGTGTTACAGGATCCAATGGGCTCCATGTTGGGGAGTGGAAACCCCTGGCCAAGAGGCATGAAACATGAAATCACCACCTGTTTACGCTACCAACAAAACAGTCGGGAACTTTTTCTTCAGCTCAAATGACCCTAATTCTTTGCTTTCTGGAATTGGGGGACATCATTAAACCTTTATCGAAATGCTCCTCGATAAAAAAAGTGAAGAATCCTAAACTGTGCCAAGGGTTCAGTTAATTTATTTATTTAATTTTACTGACTTGGCAGTGATATTCTATTCATGTTTAAGTTCTGTAGCAATTGGACTGACAGCACTGCACATTTAAATGTATAGCTGCAGCTATAATAAACAGAGTTTAAGGAGGGATTTTCTCCACTCATAATCTACATAATGACAATCTGGATCTTTTCCATTAGGGTGTTCAAATGGTGAATTATGGGCAGAAATGACAGATGTCATTACGACGTTATTGTACAACAGTATAACCTTGAGCAACACATCTGGCAAACAGAAACCATATGTTGGACAAGTCAAGCAATTAAATACTCTACTTATATGGCATTATGGTAATTTACTTTAGTATTTTCTTGTTTACTTTATACTTCTACGCAAAAAATGATATGGGGTGAATATTACGTTTTTTACGCATTTATTTGGCATTCAGGCTTTGTGGATCTTTTGCAGAATTGGGTTTTATATAGCTATAATTAGCTTATAAAATGAGATGCATACTATACTTATACAGGGCTTTAATGGACAATTCACATTGAAATCATAAGTGCATATCTTTTTTATTACCTGTGGTGCTAATGATTAATTTAGATTGTATTGCTCGGACACAAAAACGATAAATTTTAAAAAACTCAACGCAATGTCTCTTTCTCCTTTTCTTTGTACCAAACTGTAGTGAAATGATATATACAGTATATATTTCTTTAGTAACCAGGCCATGATTTCTGGAAAGACACATTGCTGTTCTCTCAGCAACTCACACCAACACAATTTAGATTGATAAATAGGATGCAGGTAAGAGGAAATGTATGCATTGCGTGTATAACAATATAGAGTTTGAATGCAAACCATAAATTTATGGTTTGCATTCAAGTCTTTTAATCAAAACCGTTAGTTAAACGAATACTCTGAAGATAAATTCCCACTGTATTCACAGTAACTCTATAGACATAAAGCTTAGCAATAACTACCCCCTCCAGCCCTCCATGCCAGAACAAGGTATCGAATAACACAGAAGAAAGTATCTGTATCACTCTAAGTGTTCTGAAACAGGAGACAGATTTTCCCAAGCAAACCCAGGTGGTCCGCCGTCCCACATCTTCTGTTACTCACAAAGAGTCACCTTTCTGTCTGGCGCTGCTTCGTTCATGCAGAGGACGTAAACTGCACTGGAGCTGTGGCCGCAGATCCAGATTGATTCAGTGTGCGACTCTGAATCTGATCTGAGGACAGCGGGTGGAGCTGATGAAGTTGCTGAGAGCTCTTGCAGTGGTGGCAGACTTGGTGACAGTAAAGCATATCAGCTCTCACACTGCTGCCTTTACTCCCAATGTGAGAATGATCTCCAAGAAAACACTATGCAAATATGTGTCCAATCAATCAATTGGTCAGTCACAAACTAAACTGAATAACTTTCCCCTCAGAGCAGCCATCAATATTAATGTTAAAGCGCTCTTTACACAACCAGATTAAAGCTCGTTAGAAATAACAGGACCGATGTGAATGTCCTCACCCTGGCTGTAACTCGAGAGCCTCGAGGTGGTAACGAGGGAGAGCCAGGGGCCCTCAGTGTGAAAAGGGTCCAGTCAGGCTTGGCCTGAGCCACACAGACCACTACTCACTCCATCCACAGCCCCTCACAGCGGGATCCAGCCATCTGGACTCATTTCTGCCCCAGAGCAGCTACAGAGTGTAGCTCTCAGGCCCATGTGTATGAGAGCTGCATTCACAGTGGGCCCCAGGAATGCGCTTGTCTGGGAGAGAACTAAGCAGATTTAAGGGATGGCGGCGCAACACGATATATCTTTTCACCCTGTACAGCGGAGCATGTCATTTCATCAACATCTGTAATTCATTTTTAGCGCAGTGGTCAATCTTGGGTTCAGTCCGTTTGGTTTTAGAAACAAAAATAGCCCTCAAATCACTTCAGTTTTCCTGTTGTTGAGTAATTTAGGACATAATTTATATACAACTTGACTTTCATTCTTTAAGACATCTTAAATCTTTCTTCCATTCCCTTAAACGTCAAGTCCTATCCATTATATCCATAATATTAAAATTGTTGATTTATTTGAGAATGTAGCCACCGGTTCTCCTCCAGCCGGAGACATTGCTTGCATCTTATAGCCCTTTCTTCCTATATTTGTTGTAAGTATCTTTACTGTGAGATTAACCAATAAAGGCAAAATAAAACCTCTTTAAAATGTTGTGCATGTACAAAATGATTGTCCAGGATTTCTGGACATGTTCAAGCTTTAATAACCTCCTTACTTTCCAGAGTTTGGTTAAGATAACCCAAAGGGATCCATACTGTAGCAGAGCAGTAAATCCAGACAGGACATGCACTGCATGCTTTACTGCCATTCCAGCGCCTGCAGCGACAGCTCAACCCTATTAGCTGTTCGGTTACTACGGCAACTAATACTAAAACCCCAAAAGAGCCGACGGTAGGGGTCAAAGGGCAACAGCAGCAGATAACCAACACATGTCTTGCCTTGAATTCAAGGTCTGAGCACGGGGGGAAACATTCTGGAAGATGTAAAGTAATTTTGGTCTGGTTTTGTTGACCTGGCACTCAGGGTTTATATGTTGTAACTAATGGCTTTTTTTTTTTAATGGTTAGCAAACAATACACTCATTCTTAAATTGAGTTACAGGTTATTAATAAGAACAACGTTTGGGTTTCTATATTGTAAAAACATCTCTCTAGCCAGCTTTTATCCTCCTCCAGTTTTGTCGTTTAATTCATCAAAGCGACTTCTTTAATGGACCATACCTCCCTGCAGAAAATCCACAATCTATGTATTAGCACTTACAAGTACAGACATGATAGACAGCAAGTTAAAACTGCTTATTTTAACCAGTGAAAAAAATAACTTTTACAAAATGCCTTATTGCCAAAATTAAAGCTCTGGCACCTCTTACAATGTGTAGAAGTGTTAATTCTAGGATGATTTACCACTTGTATCACATTTACCAAAAGGTCCGTCACAGTACAGATGACAGGGAGAAAAGTTTGTCTTATGGCTTATACATTTTCAACACAGTGTTAATATTTAATCAAAGAGGAAAACAGCAGGCTACCACTTAAACTATATCAACAAAGAGCATAGGATTCCTGATGATCATACCAATAAGTATCCACTACACTGAAAATTGAATTGGGTGGATGTGTCAGGTTCAAATGACAAAACATTGATTTGCAGCCTGCATAAGACCTGTGTCCTGTCCCCCCTGAGACCAGGATCAATAAGCTTATTTTCTGGATAGCATACACACCACATTCATCTTCCATGCAGGCTTCTGCCAGCCTTTCCACTGAAATCACTTTTAATCACATCCCCAGAGGTTGCCCACTCTTTTTGCATTTAAAATTAAGTATAGGTATTAATTCTCAGGAATGTGACACATTGTCATGTGCTTCTTAGACTGTAGTCATCCATGTATATGTGTTACTTTGTTATGGTGCTGTTGCAGTGCATGTATAAGTACATTTCATGAACAAAATGCCCAATGTTACATAATTCTGCCTTGAGGATGAAATGGTATGAAACAACTGTGCAGCTCCAATGTGAGTCCATCTGCTGGTAAAACCTTTTGTTCTGCTTCCTTTTGCTATGAGCTTTGCAGCATTAATAAATCCTCATTACTTATCTGGGGTTTAGGAGTTGAACCTGGCAGAACAATACAAGCAGGCAGCAGCGTCCCCTAGTGGTATGTTACAAACTTGTATGGAGTAACTGCCGGGAGTAAAAGTTAAACTTTGTCTAACATGGAGGCTTCTGAGTGGTGCTTACTTGGCCAATCACAAGCTTTGGTGTCTCCTATTCGCTAACAGCGAGCTGTCAATCAAATCCTCCAAAGGGGGATTTTCTGTATTCTCCTCAATGTGGGTTTGGAGGTCGTGGAGTAAAGATCCCCTCCGTGAAAATATGTTTGTGCATGTGGATTTTATTAAAGTAACACCAAAAACCTGCTGTATTTATTATTTAATCAACATTGTTAAAATTGCATCAAAATGTACTAAAGTAAACGTTTTCGAACATATTGGCAGAATCGCACTATTCTGCATATCAGTATTATATTTTTTAAATGTTATTACTGATGCATTTTAGTGTTGTCGAGATGTAAATTAGGCCTACGTGTAACTATACTGTTCGATAATTTAATCTATAATAATATATATTTTACATGTAAAATCATTGGCTGTTATAACAGCGAATGATTTAATTACCTATAGGTAATAAAGTAGGTGTGGTAATTAAATAACAGCAATGGGGGTAAAATAAAATGAGTGGATTCAGACTTAATAGCACATTTAAATGGTTCTCTGAAGTGCAGTTGAATGGAAGTATAACTAGAAACGTGATGGTAATACTGAGTTAAAGTACAAATACCTCAAAGTTGTACTCTGAATGTAAATAATATAGTTATACGTAGGCTATATCATAACAAATGATAATACAATATAAAATAGTAGTAGTACAAATGGTAAAAACCCATGTATAATATCAAGTTTGATGATTTAGCTTTTTTTTTAAATATATTTTTGACGTATTTCAATCAGCTTATATTTTTGATAAATAGTTTTCTGCATGTAGCCTCCAAATAAAATAAATTAAAAAAATATATATATATAAACCTTGCTTCCACTGACAATGATCAAAAAGATAAAAGAATGAAAACCATGGCACCAGTCTCTAATCCCAGTGAGACATGTCAGGTGCACTCAGCCCCCTGCCATACCCAGAGGACGCCCATGGGTGGCAGGGCTGTTCCGGACCACTGGACGGGGGACGGAATGCTCTCTGATTGGTCGGCGGTGTGCGCGTCCCCTCCCGGTTTTCCTGGCATGACCTTTTCCCTTGGCAACCACTTCCTCCGAGCATCCACGGCCATCTTTAATTTTAAGTCATTCATGAAAAGTTGTTTCGCTCATGTTAACACGCCGAGTGACACATTTGCGCACAACGTAGCATCTCCGGCGCTGTGTGCATGTAGTTTCCAGCGACGTGCTCCGAACAGAGCCGAGCAGCACCGCAGCAGGCTGTCCGCAGAGAATAAGTAAACAGCGAAAGCGTACGTGCATATTGTTCAGCGTATTGTCTTGTGCATCTCTCAGGCACGTTTCCACATATGTTCCCAGGCTGCTGTTCGCTTCTTCCTCCAAGCTAAACTGTCTGAATGAGCTATACACGTGTGTAGAAATCAACGTGTTGCGTTTTGGGCTGAAGTAGTGTGTAATGCTCCAGAAAGAAACAGCAGGTGGAACGCTACAATAATAAGAGCATGGATCATTGTCTGAAGGGCACAGCTGTACAGCTGTACTGTAGCCATGTTGTTCTGCAAGTAACCCAGCAACAGGGAGACGCGCGTTGATTCCTGACGTAACTTCAGGGTTTTAACAAAAACTCCAAACTTTATATTTTGTTTTGCAAGTAACACACGCTGGTTGTAATTCATTTTATTTTTATTCATGGCAGTATGAGAAAGAAGCAGACTGCCAAACAGAGGAAGACCGAGGAGACTCCAGTTGTGCAGGAGTTTGTGGTAGAACAAATAATTCTCCGCAGAATCTATAACGGAAGAGTGGAGTACTTCCTGAAGTGGAAAGGTTTCACAGAGTGAGTGACGGATGCTTGCTTATATTATATTTTATATGTTTTTCTCTTTCTTTATAATATTAAAATACATTCTCTCCTCACTTTGATGTTACTGCAGTGCAGACAACACATGGGAACCTGAGGACAATCTGGACTGTCCTGAACTCATCCAAGAGTTTCTGAGAAACACCCATTTTTTTAATGAGGAAGAGCAAAATGAGCAAGAGTTCATTCCCAAAGAAGAAATGACAGAGCAGGAGACGGAAATTGTGAGTGTGTGAACTAATATTTGTTCCATGTTATTCACAGAACTTCTGCATTTAAATCTGTAAAAGATATAAACAACATCATATAAGAATACTTGTAGCACGTTAAACTCAGAAAATGTAAAACTGTAGTTAAAAAACTTCTGACCATGTTTGACATATTTTGTTCCTACTTTTTGAGTTTGAAGGTTGAATTTGAAACTAAATGGTGCGAAAGGAGGCTAGTTTTGCAATGATCCTGGAAGTAAAAGTAGTAAAATTTCAGTTTTCTTTGCAATGGGCATGTAAAGTAAAGAAGAAAAAGGAGAAGCGGGCCCAACCACGTGGTTTCCTATGCGGATGCTGTCGTTGTGGTTAGTTCTAACCGCTGCAACTTTTGTTCTTGTCCTTCTCTTTGCAGTCATGTATGCAGTCTCTGCAGCAGACTCACACTGTGCAGAGCAACAGCGAGCCAAATGATGAGCAGTCAGACACCCCCACTAACCTCAGCACTCACCTCGAACCTGAATGCATCATTGGCGCCACGGACAGAAAGGGAGAGCTCATGTTCCTCGTCAAATGGTAACTCGATAGTTCCTCTAGTCATTGCGTAATTGGTCGGGTATCTGTTTGTGAAGGTGAAAGTCAAATGAGTCGACGTTTAAACCTTCAATCGTGCGTCACGGATTCTACTAAAGAAAATACGATGGAGAATCTAGTCAGGCGTTTTTCATCTTATTGTTGGAGATTGTTGAAGACAGACAATAACAATGACCACCTGACAGAACACTATGCAGAGCCTGCCGCCATGATAAAGAAGCAGAAAAACCTTTCCAACACAGCCCTTACATTTTTTTAGATTATGTAAAAATGCTTTAAGTTGGTGTGGTGTGGAGGTTCTAGTTTTTGGGAACTTGATCTATCAGTATTATTATTTATGAGAACCTTTTAGAAAAATCTATTATTTAAAGTGCTCTGCATGAGGCAAATACGTGTATAAAATATATAAAATAAGTAAACGATACAAAAGGACAACAAATAAATTGACCTCAGAATTATTAAATATCTATTGTGAATCAAATACCTTTACTGAAATACAGTGCTAATAGCCCTTATTGTCATTAGATGTTTCAAAATTACAGAACTGACTGTACCCCTAAAAAAGATCACTCACCTAAGCCTCTCTTTTTGCAATACCCTTTTCCAAACTGGTAGGAGTGTGTGCGGAAACATTTAAAGTAAAGGGCCACCATCCTAATGGTCTCCTCCTCTGTTTTGTTTCCCGACAGGAAGAACTCTGACGACGTGGCCCTGCTGCCGGCTCGTGAAGCCAGCGCCAGGTGTCCCCAGGTGGTCATCGACTTCTACGAGCAGAAGCTGACCTGGCACTGCGGGGACGAGGAGCAGTGAAGTGTGAACTGATAAGCAGCTGTGCTCTCACCTGAAGCTTAGTTTAACCTTCCTAACCATCAAGTGTCCTCCTTCAGCTGACATTCAGAGTGTGAAATTACACTGCACGTAGATTTTCAGATTCTGGCAGGTGCAAGATCCTCAGCAGGGATGGATTCTCAGTCCTGTGGTGCTCAACGAGGTCTCTGTGCCTTTGTGAGGAGACTTAAACTAACCTTTGTGTGAAGAAGCTGATTTAAAGTCAGACTAACCTGTAGCAGCTTTGTCTCGCGTGAGCAGACACAATCACTGTGGACATGTGTAGCTTTTACTGATATATAGTGACCTAATATTAAAAGTTGTGTTTAGCTATGTCTTGGTTTTTATCTGTGTGCTTTATATTTTTTTATAGTGAAACTGTGTAGGCAGAGTGAACTAACTCGTAGCTTTTAGTTAGAGCTCAAGACTGTAGACCTGTTTTTTGAACGCGTATTGTCTGAAGTGTTTATAACCACAACTCTAAGCGGTTTCTGTATGACCCTTGTGTTTGATGTCAAACATTTAAAAAAATGTCCCCACAATAAATGTCCCTGTATTTCCAATCAGCTGCTAAGAACCAAATATTTTCATTTCTGAATTGAATTATAACAAGAATATAATTAGGTTTTTAAAAAACTAAATTATTACAAAGTGAAGTACTGGCAGAATTACTCAGAGTAATATTTCTAAAGTGAATTTTTGAGAAACAATAACTTTTGTGCACCTATGATGGCTAATGAGATTGTTAAGTGTAACACTTTAGAAAACGAGCCTGTAAAACTACACGGGTCATTCTCTTCCAGTAACCTTACAGGTCTGTGGGACTGTTCCTGCTTATGGCACTGTCGTGACTCAACATATCTCCCATGACTGTTATGGGACACTCAGCTGAACCTTAAACCTCCTAAAACACACATGCTACTGAATTATTGACTAACTGTTGACCATGGATCTGTGAAGTCTGTGAATAAAGGAAACTTTTTTGTGAAGCTTTTCTCTTCCAAGTTTTTTTACTGTAACAATCACATTCTAAAATCACATGGAAGAAGCATCAACTGTTCAGAAATATCAATTAAAAACAGAATCTAAGGCACAGAATGGGCTTTGACTGTTTCTAAATGACAATCAATATACTTGATAATAAAACCTATAGGTATGTTAACTGAGACTTTTGTTGATTTGACAGTTATGAGGAGGAGCTTTTCTCAGTCTTGTGACTTTAGTTTGAAACCTTTGCACTTGGACAATACAAGTTGGACATAAAAGGATCTAGCAACATGCCAGCACATCATTATCAGGCTTTTTAAGTTAAATTAAAAACAAGAATATCTTGATTATGAGTGAAGAAAATGATAACGCTGAGGATCAAGTATGTTTAAAGTTTAATAGTTTATTTAAAAAAAATAACCCACTGAAATGTTTTTTTTGGTACTGAGCAACAAAGGATATTTGGTGGGAATTTCCTATCTTGTCATGTTGGTAATTGCACTTCCTCTACCAGCAAATAAAACACTTCTCCTTTTTCTCAAAGCATTCAGTTCAGTATCTCTCCTTCCTTCTCCATGCAGGAGGTGATCAGTGTCTGGGTGCGGGACCCGAGGATACAAAAGAACGACTTTTGGCATGCCTTCATAGACTATGAAATTTGCTTACATGTAAGTAAAATGAAAAAAATATGTTGTTTTTTTTTTACTTTTATAGTCCAGTATTGGAGCTTTAATGCAATGTGTGTCACACTTGTGTTCTGTTTTAGTCCAACAGCGTGTACTTCACTAAGAAAGTCTCAATTGTGAGACGCAGGTACAGTGAGTTTGTATGGCTGAGGCAGAAGCTACAAGCAAATTCACAGCTAATGTAAGTTAATGATAATTTGAAAACAAATACTTTAAGTGTTTTTGTTAAAGTAAACTGCACTATGGTTGCCATCATTTTAAAAAGGTCTATATGTGTCTTTTGCAGGCTAAAGCTACCAGAGCTTCCCCCAAAGAATCCCTTCTTCAGTCTGAACAATGCCCAACAGATCACTGAGCGGATGAAAGGACTCCAGAAGTTTTTGGAACAGTAAGAATGATCTCTCAGATCAATAAGACATATTAACTTAAAACAGTACAACACAAACAAAACTGGTAAATCACAGTTTCCACAAACACCAGGCCATGTGACTGCCATTCTCATATAAACAAGCAACACAATAAACGTATTATCCTTGTTTTCCAGGGCAGTCCAGAGCCCTATGCTGCTGTCCGACAGCTGCTTGCATCTTTTCCTGCAGTCACAGCTCAGCACTTCAAAGATGGAGGCCTGTGCTGCTGGAAGGACCCGCTACACTGTGGCCCAGGCAGTTCAATGCTGTGGCCTGAGGCGTTTCCACTCTGAAGAGGATCCGACCACGACCCTCAGCACGTCCCGTGACTCTGACTCAGACAGGTATTTTAAACCCACAGTCAATTTCCACTCCAAAAGTTTGACTTCTTCCTGAAAAACACATCAGTAACCGCCTATTACTTTTAATGGTAGAGTTTATTTTGTATGTATGAGCATTTAAGCTAAATATGATTTTAAGTATACACTCACTGATGTATTTTTCAGAGAGATAATATAAGAAGTGTTTCTGCCTTATTCCCTAAATTAAACACTTAAATTAACTTTCCATCTTCCATACTTTTATTTCTCATTCCAGTCAAGATCCAACGCTTCAGATTAAGGCTTTGGCAATAAACAAAGCAGCGAGTACACCTTCACTTAATCTCATGGGAACCAGCCAGGAGGGGAGCCTCAGCTGCTTCTGTGGTTCTACATGAAAACAGCCTCATCATATCATCTCAAGTGCAAATGTTTAGACCTTTCAAGAAGAGATGTTCCTGTTACCCAAGCAAAAATGCACTGCTCCTAATATATATTTCACTTAAAAAAACATGGAGAATAAAAAGTAATAATGCATTCTGTTCTCATTGGGGCATTTAAGTTTGATGTATCATGTTAATAGTAATACAAATGTAATACAAATGTAACAATTATGAATAAAATGTTGGCTTTCAATGTTTTCTGTCCGCACATCTATAAAGTTGTAGCAACAATTTGCCTGAAGATGGCAGTGTTGTTACATTAATATGTTATATAGTTGCTTAGACAATGCACTGTCCATATTTACTTTTAAAAACAAATCAGACACCAGTTTTGGTCATTCTTAAGGGTTGAGTTTGCCACATATGTGCAAAAAACAATAATGTCTCTTTATGTGGCTGAACTTTCCCCTGCTAATAAACTGTAAGGTGTTGGAAGCTTGTTCTGTAGGGGCCGCTGCAGTGCTAAGCTGTATGATGTATAATAAGGTCTCTGCAGACAGCCCCCCTGTCAGGTGTAGCACTGGTAGGAGGTCCTGGGGGATCCCAATGGACTCGCTCCTGTCTGAGAGGGCCACCAGGTAGACGGGCTGCATTGCTCCCTGCTGAACAAAACGCCAGCTGCACTGACAAGCTACCTTTTCTACCTGTCTCTCTCTCTGGCTTCGTATTTTTATGAGCCCGTTCACTACAGTCACATACCTCTGTGCATGTGCCTGCATGCTGAACATAACATGCATGTGCTTCCACAGTGAGCAGCACCATGCTTATGCAGAGGTAATGACCACTAAACAGAGAGATGGCAGGCTGACATATCGGCACAGCTAATGAGATTAGCTTTGTCTCTCTGCAGCAGTCGTGATATTCATTATACATTCAGAGCAGACAATGGGCTAGTGTTGCAGAGAACAGAGAGGTGACAGCACCTCAGATCTGCTCTGAGCAGCAGGACAGTTTAGACAGTAGAAAAGCCCACTAACTCAATTTGGGGTGCGCGTGTGGGAGGGGGGGTGGGGTGTCTTCTCTGAAGATGTGTGGGTGTATATGTGTTACTGCGCCTCCACATATGCTAATGCAATATACACATGTGTCTTCTTTGTCTGTGCTTAACTGTGTGGGGCAGCATTACCCTGCAGCTTCAAACACACATGCTGCAGATGTTTGCTTTGGCTAGATATTCAAAAAGGCATTCATGCCCACCTAAAGTGTTAAAGTAAGTGCGTTTTCTTTACACAAATGTGTGCGCAGGCTATACTGCCTTACCACTCAGTCTATCAGTGCATTTATTCTACAATCAGTAATGTTTCCATTAATTAATTATTAGGCTCTTATGCTAGCTTTGCTTCCTTCCTTTACGTCCTTTCACATTGTATACTGACTATACTGTATTTCCAATGTATTTAATTGACCTCAGGAAAAGCAGTGGTAATCAGAAAAAATAGTTTAGCCTTAATTTAAAAAAAACTCATGGTTGGGGTAGACTTCAGATGTTGTGGTAGTTAATTCCAGATTTGCAGAGCACATCTGAAAATTTCTTCTGCATGTCCAATAGCTCGTTAAAGCAGCATATTTGAAATGTTTTCTGGCCCAAACACATACATTCAAATTAAATAAACATCCTAAAATAACAGGACTCTGTAACAGAAGGGCTTTATTTGTGACTCACAGCACCGTGAATTGAAACATTTACCCTGCTGGTGTGAGTCTGAGCTGTCCAGGACTATTGACTTCGCTTTAATGGTCTGTGACTCCGGTCCACTGGCCGTTAACCTTGAGCCAATGTAGCCTAGCCTGTCAGTACGGCTCTGCAGCCATGACAACACTGACACATTTAAACCCATCAGATCGATTGGCTAACAGCTCCCGGCTCCATGTTGCGTGACCCTGAAGGGGTATAATGGCGTAAAAACATAGGGAGCGAGTAAAATCCCTCCTCTCAGGCTCGGTTTTTAGCTGGACATAATCACAACCGTTCAGAAAACTACAAGATCAAAATCATGTTTAATTATTTTCACAAATGCTTTAGCTCATTTTAATCTAATCAGTATGCTTATTGTTTGATACATAAAACAGTAGAAGATAAGATAAGGGGAAATGGCCCCTCAGGGAGGTGCCCATCTGCCTCTGAACAAGTCAGCATGCCTTTCTGCAGCGACAGCTCAAATATACCTCACCTGATGTCAGTGATCTCATGCTTTACTTACATTTCCCTCTGTCATGTAATTAAAACGGAATCCCCAAGAGCCTAAATTCCTTTTTCAACAGTTTTACATTTAAAGAAATAACAAATTGTCAAACTCGAAATGCAACAATGTAAAAGCCCAATCAGGGTTTGTTTACTGAGCTGACTGCACAGAGCCAAAAACAAATGGAAGTATTGAGGGAGATATGCTCCAGCGGATGCAAATTACAGATAAATCAGAGACTGCTCATGCATTTTAAGTGCCACATTATACCGAATCCATTAGTAGCAATAGGAGTTCAGCACCACTTGAGATATTAAATCTCTTTGCCTGCAACTCAGTGAAATCCGGACGAGTCAATATCAGAGAAGCCCAGCTGCACTGCCAATAGATACGGGATGAGACCGACAGGAAGGATGCCAGAGTTACACACCAACAGTTATAATGGCACTGGCTGGTGATATGTGTAGCTTGTTATACAGCAAGACAATACCATGGGCCAAGGTAAAGAGCAAAGTAAAGGATATGTTGGTCTTGGGTTAATTGAATTGTTAATAACATGCGCCTCATCTCCGAAATTGTTCAAGGTCTCCCACATTTTATGCCAAAACTAAGTGCTGATTTACTGAGGGCCATTAAAAGATTCCACAACCTGACAGTCAAAAAAAGATTTTTTTAGATGTTACATCTGTCCTTGTAGCTGTGTGTGTGTGTGTGTGTGTGTGTGTGTGTGTGTGTGTGTGTGTGTGTGTGTGTGTGTTCACAGCCAACCCATCCTAACACCTCTCTCAATCTGGAGGAAAAAGGCTTTTCTCAAGGCTGAAACATTTTTCATTGTCAGTCTATTGTCACAGATGGAAATGAGCTCACTTAAGTGCTATCCATCATTTATCAAACCCAACCGCCCCGGTACTTTTTCCTCGATTCAGCACGGTTTATACCTGCTATTTTCCCTCCACATGCTGTCGCCTTTTGGTGCACGGCTGTAGCAATTACTGGGAACGGGCGAGTGTACTGTACCGAAGCGAGCAACAGCTTCTCGTCTCCTGGAATCAGGACTGATAAGCGTGAAACCGAGCTACTCTGCCCTCAACACATGAGCCTGGGGGGGAACGAGGAAATTGAGATCACTGCTTCATAATTTCCTGAAAAAATATGGTGTGTAAAATCAGACAAGTTTCCTCTGGAGCATACAAACAGTTGCAGAAAGATGGGCCTTGAGTAAGCAAACCATGTCTGTATATGCATTCACAAACATTCTGTGTTCAAATAGATATCTTCATGCATACTGTACACGCAGGTCCCTAAAGGTTACAAATGAGCTCATACAAAAGTGAAAGAACTCGTAAAAATGTAGGTATTGTATGACACCTTTAGTGTCTATGATGTATTTTGCTCATCCTTTTGATTGTGTGTCTATGCACATGGGAACAGCCCCAGATCATGTGTGACTAACAAGCCGTCCAGACTACTGTCGTGTTTGAGATGAGGAGCCAGGTAGAGGTGGAGCTCTTTGGTCAGTGACAGTAAAGACGCAATGGTGGAAGTGAGAGGACAATAGACGGATGAAGAAACAAAGAGTGAAAAAATAGAGGGGTAGAGGGCACCGTCTCTTGAGGCCTCTGTGCTTCGCTGCCAGTGTGTGTAAATCAGCAGGCAGCTCACGGCTGCAATGAGGTAGAAAATAAAAAAAACATAAAAATGTCCAAGTGAAATAGGAGGCAAGGAGAAATCTTTTATGATGAGCCTAAATTCTCCTTACTCTGCAGTAGATTCACCGGCCGGCTCAGCTTGTCTTCTCCAGACACCGTCCATCATCACTGTCTGCATAAAGCCACAAATTACTCAAATTACCCCACCTGCTATTCATGTAATACATATGTAATGAGTACCCTTTATTCACATGATTATCATTCATATGTTAATAGGGCCCATGTCAAATTCATTAATATGCACATGAAATTATGTGGACTGTCTGAAGTTCTGCAGATGTAGTTTTACACATAAAGTACAAGGCAGAGGTTTATCAACATGTTTAAACTTGTTGTTGCTCAATTGAGCAGAAGTTCATTCTTGACAAAAACAATTTTAACTCCATAGGTTTCTTACAAACTTTCAAACAACTTCCAAGGTCTTCGTCGGCAAATATGGTTTGTGAGTTCCTTAAATTCAAAACTCAACACCATAGTTACGTCTCTTTGTTCATTAATATTTGTTTTACATAGCCTACACTGCATAGGTTCAATGTATTCGCTGCTAATTGCCAATAATCTCCATCAAACGCCCAGCAAAGATTCGCTTTCCACAACAAACAGTAACATCATGAGCGATGAGTTGTGTTGTTTAGCCTACCGTGTTTCACATGTTGTGGCAGTTTGGCTCCAGTCCAGTCTGCTGACATTAGTGATTAGTCACCCATAGTATTCACAGGTAACAAAATAAACCAAAAACTGATAACGCCTTCGAAACATTGTGCTGACGTCTTCCTGTGCTAACCAACTAATGAACAGTGTATGCAAATGACCCACCTGGGACGCCATCTTAATTAGCAGACGAGTCAAGGCGTCAAAATAAGACCACAAGGCTTCAAAATAAGAGCACATGAAGTAGAAAGGAAAATATGTATTTGTCAACTAAGCTGAGACATAAACCAAAATGTGTGGAATTTGTTATCAGTTATACCAAGGAGAATGATTCATACAATCAAATGTATCCAATTCCTTTACATCTTCTGACTCTTTAGCCATTAAGATAAGCATTAGCTCATAGTTATTTACATCAGTGGTTCCCAACCTTTTTTGTCTGGTGTACCCATTGAGCTGGTCTCCATTCAAGTACCCCCTCACTCATCTGTGATGATTCACCTTCCTCTTTTCTTGTATAAATCCCTTTGTAATCATATGTAACCCAACTGCTCCTTATGAAAATCCCTTGCATAACTCACCCTTATTACAAATGCATTTTAACTTGACATTTACACTTACAATAATAAATAATTATACAATAATGAAAATAATAATATTAAGACTCACTTCTAGCAGTTTCAACATATTTTGTTAAGACTAGAGCTTTTAATGATACACTTGAGCTTGCTTGTCTTTCATAAGCATTGATAGCTCTGGGGGAAGGGCACCAGAATTATGAAAATTGATTTTAAATATTTTTTTGTATGGAAATATATTGCAATCCGTAGTCTTTCTACGTACCCCCTGCAACCCCTCAGGTACCCCCGTGCCCTCGGTTGGGAACCACTGATATACATGTCCACAAGAGGTTTCCATGTTTTATTGAATAGATTTATTGCAGCTTTTTGACAATGGGTGATCAAAACAATACATTATTTATATGTCAATATGTTTTATAAAACAAAAAACGATATTTAGATACCTTGTGATCTAAATTAATAAACATTTCAACTGCAAAATACATGTTAGTTTAAAAAAAATAGCGTGCTGCGGTAACTGTTTTTTACCATGCTATGTTTTGGTCGTATGCAATTGTTGAAGGTCAGTCAGGAGCAACTGCCAACCCTATTACAAGGATAGCTATCAACACGTAGGCCTACAGCACATTTTTTAAGTAACATGAGAGAAGGTCCAGCAGGCCAAGAGGCAAAACCCTCTCTCAAAGAACTGTGAGTGCATCAATCAAAACTGCAACATGATTTACAGCATGTGAAGGGAAACATTCATGACCAAAACTGACAAACTACACTGACACTGAAGCAGAACAGTGGAAAGTTCAAACGTACCACAAGGAACATTTCATATAAATACTCTACTATATCAGTAGTTGACAAATGCTTATGCTTGGCATCCAACAACAAACAAAGCAGAGGTGGCTTGGACTTGTTTAAATCTCTCATGAGCAGCAGCCAGGAGTTTAGAACAGGTATATCCTATTGTACCATTGTACCATTGTACCAATACCTCCAACCCTGAAAGAATGTTTTGGTGGGACATCAGAAATTGTGTGAGTTATTTATATTTCAAACATGTTGCAAAGTGTTATAGTGATGTACTGCATATTATCTATCTCCTTACACGATTGTCTTAATGCCTTTTTAAAGCCTGACGTACATTGTAGAGAAATATAAATCGACAGTTTTTGCCTAAAACTGTCCAACTGGAGAATTTGGATGCTTTAAAACTCAGCTTGAATGACTTGTGTGTAACCATTTCTTATAAACTCCTCCGGTGGTTAAAACCCCCGCTGCTGTTATACTGAGCATGTTACCTTGGTGCCCTCAATGGTGACCCTGAATCAGCTTTGTTATTCTGTCCACCTCAAGACCATGGTCACTCTGCAAAGACCATCAGCTCCTGGCGGACCCTAAATAAGCTCAGGTCAGCTTGGCTGGCCCTGTGTTCAGATACATACCACAGATGACATTAAGTGGGAGTGATGGCAGAAATCTGCTATCCAGTGACTCTGTTTGCTCAGCAAGCTCCTGTAACTCAACTCTCAAATGTGTGCTTCCTATGTCATGGGGTTGTATTACAAAAAAACTGCTAAATTAAGAGCTGACATTCAGATTCGACCTCATCCTGAATGTGAGATACAATCATCTAACTCTGAGGGTGTCAAGAGTGAAGTTTCAGTTTACACAAGATTGACAGTTGTGAGGTATAAGAATGTTACAGGAACAGTGTGGAGACGGCTGCAATTACAGTTGATGGATCTCGCACATCTCTGACCCGCCCTGATTGCAAACTATCCTCCCAGACCCTCCAGGGTCATTACTCACCTCACTAACTAGTAGAGTAAATCAGTAGCGGAGCGCTGAACTGATATTATGGCACAGCCAGAGAGTAAACAGGATCAGAGTACGGAGGCTGGAGCCTTATAAATAATCTGCGAGTAGATAGAACAGGAGCGAGGCGTGGGAGATGTTTATTGCAGGTGGACAAACAACTGTCACTTTGATAAGAGTGATTTATCCTGAATGACATGTCAGCACATAGCTCTACTCTGCCTGTGACAGCCTGGACTGCCAATCACACATCCTGGGACAAGAGACCTGTTTGTAACAATTGTGCATACATTGCGTGAGAGAGATGACAAGCAACTTCATCAGTGGAAAGTATCATCTGTGACATGATGGTGTTCAAGGTAGCATCCTCTTCTGGGATGATGGTGATGTTTTAAAGGCCAGAAACGACACTGTCAGGCAGTGGAGCCACCAGCACCTGAGACATAAAAGTCTTCCCTCGACATCACTGTCTGCAGCTCGCAGAAGGCAATTAACAAGAAGGAAAAACAGACACTGAAAACGTGTGAGAGAGATGGGTGTGGTGCTTGTAATAAATGGCCTGTCTAGACCCATATTTACTGGCCTGCCACTAACCCTGGCTTCCAGCTCAAAATATTACACATTATATATTGAAAAATCACTGAAAGGCACAAAAATCGAAGCCTTAAACTCCAGAAATATGAATTTCAGGGCAGCCTGTCATAAATGTTCGTTAGCTTTCACTTTAAATACCCAATGTCTTATTCTCACAATGTCATAAACTAGCTGAGGAAACCTTAATTTGTCAGCTGCCATGAGTTATGCTAACTGAAACTGACCTCAATTAAGAGTGACTTGCATTTAAAAAGTGTCTATTTCAGATTTTAAGATTTAGACCGGTTGGGAGAGGCTTTAATGGAATGCTGACAGAGGGCAAGTTGGAGAGGTAATACATTTCCTGTAAAATGCCAGTGGTTACCACATAAATAAGGCAGTGTTATTCCTGACAGAAACTCTCTATGAAGCTGTGGTGATCTACGGCTGAATGACCCGGTTAAAGAGCAGCAGAAACAGCTGACAGCTTGATCAAGATTACCTCTCTAAAGTGGTATAGATCAAGTCTTTAGCCTTCCCACCAGCCCCAGGGGTTAAGGTACACAATGGTGATGGTACACGATAATACTTAACAAGGAGGAACAGCTATCAATGACAATATTATATTGTCCCTCCCGAGAGTTATTTACCCAGAAGGTATGCAGTATGTTTGTTATTCGAAGTATATTACACTTGGCTGTGTGAAAATGAACACCATAAGCTCTAAATTGTCAGTACAAAATGGATTCTGTCCTGAAGGGTGATTTGTTTTATATTTCCCTCACCTTTCTCAGCAAATCTGAATTTTATTTATTATTACTCAGCAGCTCAATCTATATATATTTGACCGGTAAAAGTGTATCTTTATGGCTGCAAGTATTAATTAGTGATATTCTGGTATCATTAGTGTAATTTAGTGCCTACTAGATTAATGGCCCGGTGGCATTTATCTATGAAACATTATATCTTGATGTTAAATTGCAATAAAAGAACCTGTATATTCCGAAGATATGGCTGTCCAAATCTAACGGAGGGGGAAGGGGGTGTAGTTGACATCCATTAAGGAAATCCTTTATTGGCACATAAAAATGAGAGGCAATATTTAGCCTTACTTGCCTTTGGCAACCTAACCCATAGCCTAACATTAAAAAGAAGACTCTTAGCTGGAAAGCTACGTCAGCCATAAAGAAATATTTGTGTTTATGTTTTAAATCCACAACTTAACATTAGCACCAAAAAATGTGTCATGTGTTACATAATCTGCCTTAATGATGGAATTACAGAAACCATCAGTAATGGTATTTGGTGATCACTGCATTTCACCTCGTTTCACTACATTCCTGCCTTCCCCTAAAACAAAGCATTTTCTCCCCATTTCCAATGTAGTATATTCAATAACTAATTATGGTAATTCATTACAGCTCCAATTAGCAGAGAGGCTTTATCGCTGCACTGTACCATAAAGAGCAGGATTTATGTTGGCTTTGAATGTCACCCAGAGGACAGGCGACTAGCTCATCACTCAACAGCAACAAAACAGAGACAGGAGCAAGAGAAAGAATAGAGGGAAGAAGCAGAGAAAGATGCAGTGAGTTATTGGTTAATGAGCGCATTTTCCTTCACATTTATCTTAACCTTGAGAAAACCTTGACAAGGCCCCTTTTGTCAGCAGAAAACCAAAGTTGGAACAGGTTACCCTGATAAATAAAATTGTCATACAACTTTGGTATTTCAGTAAGGAGGCCGTAAAAAAATGTACAGTATGTATGTAACCTCGGAGGGATATGCCCATAGCTAACACCACCACGCCTGCTGTCAAACAGCCCCTCAGAGGGTGATAAGCGCCCTGCTCTCTGTGTGGGTGGCTGTCTTATTAGTGCACCTCAGCCGTTTCACTCGGGCACGCAGCACAGCCAACCATCTGCCGCGCTGTGATCCTCTGCCCAGCAAAGTCTCTCAGGTGTCATAAAGAAACAGCATCCCTTTGAAGTTTGGAACAAAAGTGCTGACCAAATGAATAAATCTAATATTTAAAAATACATCATTTTTCATTTATTTAAAGGGGTTGTGTAAACAAATGTGGTGTACACAGAAGATTTCATATTGACTTTGGCCTGATATCATAACAGTAGGCAAACAATTTGATTAAGTATGCTTGACTATTATTGATACATGTTCTTTTTTCCATGTGTACTGTATGCATGTTTATTCCCTCGAGAATGTACTGCATAACTTTATTTCTTTTAAGGTATTTATTTTTTAAACATTTTCCTCTTGCATCTTGTCCTGTCATAATTCAGTATGCAAATATCATATACAAAATTGTGTCCCACTGCAACCAAAAAAACCTAGCATGTGATATTTCTGTCTTGAGCACCTCTGTTACAGATGTAGAAATGTGTGACCTCTGAAGAGACTCTATTGCCACCTTGTGGCTTAAGTCCAAGGAATACAAATAACTAAAAGAATGCTCTGACACAACAGATATGTTTGAACGTTTATTAATCAAGCCAAGAAAAACACTGACAAAAGTAAATTATGAAATGGTATGGGAAAACGGTTTTGAGGATGGGAAATAAATACAAAAAAGAAGTGCAGAAACTGTAGAAAAATACTCTTTAACATGTATTTCAGTCAGATGAATATGTATTTTATCCAATCATCAATCAGTTGGAGTGGATATGGAAGATCCTGTAAGTGACACAATGTACCAGTTACAATAAAGCGGATTATCACAGTTATATATTTCTTAAAATAACTAAAGGTGTAAGATATTTCACTGCCATCTTGAGGTCTGAACAACTTACATGGGTGTGTTTATATAGCGTAAAGCTCCATCAGGTAATCTTTGGGAACGATTCCTATAGATCCGTTCTTTTCTCCGACCCACCAACCACAGCTCTGGTACTCCTGAAAACAAAGTGGAGAAAACACTAATTTCCTCTTGTCTCTATAGACAACACTGAGCAGCAAACAATTGTTCTAAAAATAAATAGTACTATCAATGATCACACCACAGGCTGAGGTTTTTCTTAAAAATAAAAATATTATCCGATGGTAAAACTCTAGAGTTACAGAAACCAGTGGTCTTGCTTTGGAGACTTTGAGACTGACTGTTTGTCTAACAGAAGTCAGAAGGATAATGGCGCCCTGGTGGCACAGGTTAAGGCTGCCCACTGTGACTGACAACATCCCGGGTTTGTTACAGGTCACGGACTCTTGTTTCCTATCATTTCCCATCTCTCCCTGCCCTCATTCCCTATCATCTTGATACCATCGTAATACAAACACAACCTGTTCAATTCACAAAGTTTCTTCCCTTTCACTCCTACATCCCAACAACAACTTTAAATCTCCTGTTCACTGTCCTGCTTCTATACTTGCTTTTGGTTTCAAAACCGCAAACACATCCCTGATCCTGCACACAAAAACAATGTGTGTGTAGAGCACATCACATATAAATCTGTCACAGCATGACAAGTAATAGCTCCAAATGGCTGTCAGCATGCTGAGATGTGAGGGGGACACTGGGAGGAGAGATCTGAGACAAGAGGAGAATACCCCTCTCCCTCTCTGGCCAAGAGACTGACCTCACATCAAAGTCCTCCAGGACATGAATCAACTCTGGAGATCACGTTCTGACAAGGCTGAAGGAAAAGGAACCTGTGAATGTTCAAAATATATGCCAAAACTCGGGGACGAGGAGGGACCACATCTGTGTCCAGTTATTCCCCGGAGAGAGTAATAAATGTAAGTGATCTTATGGTAGTAGAAGAAGATTACGATAACAATAGTGATGGCTAGGATTGACTGTCGTCTGGTGATGGGTCATTCATCACGTCAGATAAAAAAGTACTGTCAACGTCAAATATTTATACACAGGACTGGAATATAATAAAAAGTAATAAGTACATCTTAATGATTAGCAGCACATTTAAATGGAAACAAACTTTTAAAAAATAACTAATGTGTCAGATTATTAAAACAACACTTCACACGTCCCTGAGGGATAATATGGCAGCTTGACATGAAGTGTGTAGTGCAAGACTGAGTGTGTGAGTGTGCACGTTATGACTTCCTGCAGCCGGCCTTTGAAAAACACCAACACCTCATTGTGTAGTTCTGGCTGACAAATAAGACGTGCTTGAGTGAGTAAGGGGTAAAAACATGAGAACACATATACAGAGCTGTGGAAGACTAATGATACCACACACTGTGACAACACATACATTATTAACACACAACTGGATAATACTTATGTCCCATAATATTATTACCTCTACCTAATGAAACACTCCGCAGCTGATCCATCAGTTTGCAAACGTTTTTAATGTGATGAAGTGAAAACATCATGGGCACACGGACCACAGCAGCAACATGTTTGGACAGTGTTTACTTTTATCCACCCATCCAGCCACTTAAGTTAAGTGAGATGATACATCTCCCGATTAGTTTTATGTGCTGTGACTTGAGGGGGGCGAGGGGGTGGTGCAGCATATCCGGACAACACACTCTCCTTCACTCCCGGTCAAGCCCTATAATCAACACCCAGGTCCTGACTGGGGGGTCTCGCAGCTGTAACACTACAGCTATTTCTGGTCTGTGGAATGGGGGAGGGACACTGGGAAGAGGGGGAAAGGAGAATGAGGAAGGAGGGAGCGACTGGGGGAGTCGACTGTCCCTTCAGCTGCAGCTGGCTGCTGCAGTCCAGACAGGTTTTATGGTCATTGCCCTCGCAGCAGGCCACAACCCCCAACACCAAGGTTTCAGCTAATGGCACTCCCAGTCTGAGTGAAAGGGCAACTTGATTCTTGGTCCTTTTCCACATGAAGAAGGAGTCGTAAACAGGCCTTTGGCCAGTGAGCATTGATGGTGTCTGTCTGCTTTGTGCATTTGTTTCCTTCCATTAGTGCGGAATCAATTAGTCAATTAGCTGGTCCACAGAAGATTAACTATTTTGAGAATCAAGTCAACTATCAAATAAAAATGTTGAACATATGCATATTTCTTATCCTCAAATGTGATAACTTTTTTTTTTTTTCTAAATTGTATATTTTACTGTTGGTCAGACAAACATAAATTAAAGAAGTCCTTTAAGGCTCTGGCTATTGGTATTTTACACTATATTCTGACATTAAAGACGCCCTATACTCTTAACTAAAAAGCAATGTAATTATCAGTGTAAATTATAAATAATTTTTTTTTAAAATAATGTTCGAAATTCATCATTCACTTCATGTTTTTAAGTCTTCATTGCTTGTAGGTGCCACTAGATGGCAGACTTGAATCTGGAAAAGGACCAGGCCGGTTGACACAGTATGTCTCAGTTGACTTCATGCTCCTGAACCCAAACAGCCAGTGCATATTTCCCACTCTTTTTTCTTTCTTTTTTACACAAACTACAGGGTCGACATGCATCTTTAAAGTAAAATAAACCTTGACTTATATGTAAGATAATGTTCAAAAACAAGCTTGTTGAATGTTTCCCATCTAAATCCACAATTCATATGAACCAGTTAAGCACAAAAGGGCTCCTGTTTAGTTACATAATGAAGGTAAAGAACGGCCCCTCAGTTCTCAATACCTGGCACTCATGCCATATAGCCGACAAGCCTCGGAAATTGTGCGTCCACTACACGTCCTCACCTGCTCTGAAACAGAGTGGTGGACTGAGCCTGGGTTTCCTGAGAACACACATTCCTATTTGGCGAGGTGAGAGAGACGTCTGAGAGGTGTGTGGGCTGAGGGCTGCTCACCGCCTGGACTGGCAGCAGCGGCAGCGTGCTGAAACAGTCCAGATGGAAGTGATGGAATGGCGCTGTGTGCCAGCTAAGCCCAGCCTCCGCCAGCAGCACTAAAACAGTTTCCGTTGTGACACAACTAATCCCCATCACAGCGACAGAGAGAGAGAGAACCAAGCTTACTCTGCCCCTTACCATCAGCCGTCCACCCCCAGGCGGAGGGCCAGGTGCTGCCAGTAAAGGATGTGAACAGTCGGTTCCTCTCAGGGCCTAGAAACAACTCACTTTAGGTGGTCTGAGACCAGCAGAACCACCCTGTCTACAGACCGTACATCTCTGGCATTTCAGTTGGGTTTGAGCTCATCCCGGCTTCACTATCCAAAAAATAAAACTCCCAGGGAGAAATCAATATTTAACATCTGACAAGCAAGGTTCCCCTAACCATACCTTGCTGAGGATGTAGATGGCATCTCCACGCTTGAAGGTTAACTCATCCGGTTGGTCCCCTGAACAGTCCCATAAGCCCTGGTAGAAGTTGGGGTAGTCTGTGCTCTTATCAACTGGATGGAAAGGGAGAGAGGTGATAACAGTTTTATTTTCTGTAGAGATTAAGACATTAAGTGTACAGGTAGGAGGACACAGCAGTGATTGTCTGTATGCAGAAGGACCAACAGGAGGCAGTGGAGAGCCTTAAACAGAACTGGAGGAAGAGCCAAGTTCATACTATATGCTCAATTTGAGTATTTATGTTAATGCTGGCAAAGTAACATAGTGAACATATTTTCAAACAGTCTGCATGCAGACTATAAAAACAGATTTTTAAACGTGCTGTTGTTGGTCACCATTCTCACTCAATTCATTGCACAACAGAAATTAAAGGAGTAGCTCACCACTGAAAAAAAAGGTTAAAACTGCATCAACCTGCAGGGGCTGCTAATGAAAATTAGCCTGTTTGCCTAAAACTGTTACATTTACACAAAAGGCTTGAGTTCTCATGTTAATTATGACCATTGACCCTTCTTAAAAAAATATAATAATTATACATTCTCAGTTTTATGTCATTTTAAACCAATCCTTTGTAGAGAAAGCTATTATAGTCAAAATGAAGAAATCAATTTCAATATGCTTTTTTTTGTAAAACAAGAGTTGGTTTGCCTTTAGACAGTGTGCATTGCATCATTTATTGTTTTTATAAAATGGTAAAAGTATGGTAATTGTTGTTTCATTGATTGCAAAACATGTTAACTAAATATCACATTATAGAATGCTGTATAACAATAGTTAGTAGTATTACTAAGCTAGTTTCTTGGCAGTTAATGTTTACCGCTCAGCTTATCTATTGATCTAAAGTGGGACCACTTCCTGTTTGTAGGACCCTCAGTGTGGGATCATGTTGTGGGAGCTGTTGTAATGTTTACATAGAAAAATGTGAAAGTTAGGCTGCTATTTTTGCAATTGCAGAACTTTTATGCATCACTTATTGTAAAAGGGAAGTTGGCTAACAGGGCCAAAAGTTATTTCCAGCATTGTGTTAACTTTCAGTGGTGCATGTTCACAGAAACTTCCTCTCTAAATGTCACTTCTTTTTAGCTGTAGCTTAGAAGGTTGAATGTTATTTATTGACCACAGTCTCATCCTATCTTGTCTTTATATGTACATAGGGATTGATACTATACACTTTTAAACACAAATCAAATATACCACTCATATTTGTTCATTCCTAAAAATGTTTTTCTACCTGCAGCAGGAGGAGATGGTTTACAGACTGGCTCGATCTTTGGAGGAGGCTTTGCTGGAGTGGGCAAGTCATCCTCTGGTGAAACAGACAAGAAATGGATAGACGAGTGTGCTATGACTTATGATTCTCTGACTAATTAGTAGGCAGAGAAATATGGACTGTTAGAAAATAAACCCTTATTGTCAAGGAGAAGCATGTCATTTGATGATTTTGTGAGGGACAACAGATATCATCGCAGTGACACAGTGTGTAGATCAGACCTGGGAGCTCTTCATAGATGTCTTCGTCAATCGGCTCAGACACAGGTATATCAACATCATCGTACACATCCTGTTCCTCCTCATCATCTTCTTGGATTATTTCTTGGATGATTCCTGTCAGGGGAACAGTTTGATTAATGCGTACATAAATATTTTTGAGATTTCTGACCAGAAACAAATTGAGTTTCTGACATTATAGAGCATACTCCTGATCATTCTTTATGAATTAAACAGTTCAAACCTTTCAAAACAAAGTCTATCTGTTTCACCCATTCCTCCGCCTCTCTCACGGATGACGCACAAAACTGTCATGAAAGAGAGAAATGAAAACTGCAGTCAGTTCAATATCCAGTTGTACATATATTAATTAACATAAGCAAATAATACTGCATTTATGCATAGCAAAATGTTCCGTATGGAAGCGCCTGAATGTTAGAAACACTCATTTAGACTTTTTAAATATGCGTGTCAGGTTGAGCCATTGCAAAGGCAGCAGTGTAAAATGAATGAATAGGTTTTAAAAATAACGGCTTAATGAAGTGCATGTAAACACATGCCTTGCCAAATTTTAAACATGGCACATCTGAAGTCCAGATTTGTTTTTCAATTAGTTTGTGCACTTAGAAACAGCAGTGATTCAAATCATCACCAAGAGATGCGCGCACCTGATAGACTCGCTTGTCTGGAGCCGTGATTTCAAAGCAGCAGTCTTTCTTTGAGTCTTTCCGTAAGGTGCTGTTAATTTTGACAGTGTATCCATCGATACTGAACTCTCCCTTCTGCTGCTTGTCTGGTTACAGGAAATTAAAAACATCATTATTAATAGTTTAGATGCAACAACTGCAAAGTCACTGTCAAATGCAGAATGCTAAATATCCAACCACTTTTAATTTTCTCAAACAGTTTCATAATTAAAAGGAATTAAAAATGTAAGAACCTTTCTCACTGCCATAATAATAGAAGGTATGCTGGCTTAGAGCGCACCACCTCTTCTGCCACTCGGTGCCGAAAAAGCTGTGATCTGTGGAGAGAAAACCAACACAAATCATAACTTAGAAGAGGTAGATCATTCTCTGGTTTAATTAGAGCTCTGTTTCGCAAAACAATGTGAAAATGCCAATGGAATTTTTGGTTTACTATCATACAATACCTTAAATTTAGGAAGAGGTATAATTATTTTTGTCTTAATAAATGGCTGGCTTATATTAAATGGATGCTTTGCAGGAAGGAGGACATGTAGGTTAAAACATATCAATACATTTCTGAGGAGCTTGGCAATTAAAGTGTGCAAAACTCTCTCATTAAAAAAAAAGGGTAACACGTATCTCATCATCAGAACACCCACCCTTTCTGCGCTTCTCAAGGTATCCCGCTTTAAAGACAGACGTCAGGTCCTGAGCCGCCACAGGTGGGGACTGCTGGGCACCTGGAGAACAGTTGAGGAAACCCATCATGTTTTTAATGATGTATAAGTGAAAATTACATTATGTTTTCAAAATGTTAATAATAAAACAGATTGATTTCTGACTAACTTCATGTTCTTCAAGTATGTGGTTGATTTGTTTGACTGATGTGAAAATAAGTAGCAGAATCTATGGAGGCTCTACTACGCAAGGTTTTGCTTCTCACTGGAGGAGATTCCCCTTGCAGCGTGCAACTTCAATGCAAATGTTCAACTGCTGTGTCAAAGTTGCTTTGTGTGAAAGAGCAGCCATAAAACTGGCAGCTGTTTGCAGCCCATAAACCCCAGACCCCTAATAGCCATTATCACAAGGATATCCCTGATACTCTATTTATAAAAGTAAATACAACATATTGCATTGGTTGCCCCAATGGACCGTACAGGGTTAACTGGGCTACTGTACATGGAGACATGTTTTTTCTCAAACTACAGCAATGGCAGTAATGTTCTGTCCCAAGACTGGCTGGGAGCAATAAAGTGTGCTCTAGCTGTCAAAGGGGTGGGGTGAAAGAGGTGGTGGGAGTAGCACTAGTGCCCCCAAATTGCTTCCCAAGTATGTTGCCAAGTTACAGTTGGAATGTCTCCCTCATTGTGCCACTCAAAGTCACTTTTCCAAGGAGCAGACCCCGAGATTTGTATTTGTTCATGCCAAGGTGCAATTTTCAATACTTTAATCCACCACTTGTTAGCAGTTAGCAAGTCAACGTTTGGACATCTGCTAAGTGTTTGTGGCTTACCTTCGCCAGCGTCTTCATCCTTGTCTGTGCGCTCTGACTGCTGCGAGCCTCCATCGTTGTTGCTGTCAACTTCCTCCTCGTCATCCTCCTCATCTCCACCTAGAAGAACAAACAGAAACTGTTAATGGTGCCTGTTATATTGTATCCCAATGGCTCTCAACCTGTTGTGCATATCCATGAGATTGATTCATTTCATTTGAAGAGGGATATTCCCTTTTGTGGCTGTTTGGAGAAGGTTTAAAAGCACAAAACAGTTTTTTGAAAAAAAGAAAATAATAGAGGACATTGTTGGTGTATCAGGAGGTATGTATTTTATATATTCAAAGTTGTTGATCATATCTTTTAAGATAAGATAATACATTTCAATGGGTTTATCCTGAAATTAGTGACCCCTCCGATTCATGCCTTATGTGCTTAAAACACAAGGTTGGGAGCCACTGGTACATTTAATAAAGTGTAAGACAAGCACTCACTTCTGTCCTTGAAATCGTGTGGGAAACTGTTGAAGAGAAAGGGATTAAATGTTAAAAACGTTCATATTTTCCATTAAAATATTTGTACCTCAATTCTGATCTGCAGAAAGACATACCCCAATTTGAGCTCTTGAATCCGTCTGATGAAGGCATCCCTCTTCTCTTTTGCCTTCTTGCTGAGATTTTCCCCTTTTAATCCATCAGAGATGAAATATTCTAGGTCTAAAAAAAAAATCAGATAAAACATTCATAAAATCTGGTTCCACTGTTTTGGCAGACAAAAACCAGGTAGGCTTCTACTGGAAAACATGTACTTTTCAAAAGCACAACAACACGGTGTGCAGCTTCGAAGTCCAACTGCTCATTGTTTGATACTGATCAGCACGGATGAAATAGCACCACGGTGGTGTGTTGACATGATGCAGCTAGACTGAAGTCCACCTGACTGAAAGCGTTATGAGTGTGTGCTTCCTCTTTCACAAAACGGTCCCTTAAAAGCTGGACGTGGTGATAAAAGCACTAAATAAACACGGAAAACCACCCATTGTGTGCAGATATGCGGTAACTTATTAAGATTTTACCTGAGATGAGCGTCGTTAGCTCCTCGGGAATCGCACGCATTGTATTGAGAGTTTGTTCCTGGCAGCGGTGACCGTCCGGCTGGGAGACTTCACACACGGAAGCAGCAATGAGTTTAAGGACACGGAAGTTAAAGTTCTAATTATTATCTGACCACATAGTTCCGCTGTAGAAAACCCCCTCTGAAACCTGCCTGTTGTTCAACATCCACACTGACGTTTATTGGTCTATCAGCCTTTGTGTGTATAGTTTTTGACTGCTCCTGATGACGTGGAGTCGATGTTTTAATGGAGCAATGGGTCTTTACAGACCTATAAAGTCAGCGGATAACACATGATCATATTTTTTGATTGATTCCAGATAATATTTCTCTGGCACTTAAGTCTGTGACTGACTCACTGGACACATTGGCGGTGTCTCTTTTTTACAATGATGCAAGCACTTTGGGCTTATGAATATGTCAACATTGTAAATCCAAATAGGGCTCATTAATAGTTGAGGAAGCTATTATATAAAACTGTTCTGCAGGTTTAGGAGCAAGTTTTTTAAATATATTTCCAACAGATGTTTGAGAGAGCCCATTTAACTTTTGCACCGTTTTTTCCTAGATCGCATTCAGAATATCAATCGCATTATTGAGACATTAATTTGTTTTGTAGTGGACAATCAAAGACAAACACTATTTTCCTTTCTAATGCAATCAATGTACAAGTCCTGGCAAAAGTAAACAACAAAAAGCTCACCTTATACACCAAGTCAACCCTGTGCCTCATGGTGTATTCAGTGAAAGCAGCTGGGTGTCATATTGTTTATAAAGGTGTCAGTCATTCATTAGTCATCTTTTGACAGTGAGAATCACCCAATCCAGGTTTAAAGGCTCAGCCTTTGAACTGAATAGCCTGTTGTTGTGGAGAAATGAAACAGAGATGTCAGTGCAGCTCTGGAGGGGCTGAAGAGCTTCAGCTCGTGCTTTAGCTGCAGGTGCTGCATGTTGTTTGTCAGTGCTGTCAGGCCAACCAGTCCCACATCCAAATGACTCTCCTCCAGTTTTAACTCAGCAGCTTTAGAGATACTTTAACATCCACACACACTCTGGTTAAGTTCTTAGGTAGCCTACCATTTGCTCTGTCCTTTTTTCTTCACCAATGTGTTTTGGACCCAGTAACACTCTCTATGTTGTTTTCTTTATTGACAGTGATAGAGTTTTTTACACTTTTGCTTTATGTCTTTTATTAAGTTTTACAATGTTGTTGATGTTGATTCACTCTGAGAAAATTTGAACCAGCTCTATAGATCTTTGGTTTATTGTCATGTGATTTACAATCACATTCCTAATTTCTTAATCCAAACATAAACTTTATATAATATCCTTCATGGTAGTATTGTTTTGCATTTTCTGATGTCATTTCCTGTTCAGAGCCGAGTAACCAAGACCTTCTTTATGACCACAAACCCTCTGAGGTCATTCAAAACCTGACCCCCTCCTGACCTGGCAGTAGTTCCTCTCTGCTTGGAGAGGAGAGGAGAGCCAGCTTGACCTTTGACCCGTGTGTGTGCATGTGTGGAGGGAGGGATCTGCTGGCACAGGCTTGTATCTAGTTTCCCATAATGCTTCATCTACTTTTCTACCATGCTTGAACTCCTTCCTGTGGTTGGTTCCTCAGATTTTATGATTCATAACATGTTGGTAATGTACTACTTGACCAAGCTGCTCCAAATTACCATCATATACCCATAACAAATAAAGAAAATTATATAATAAAATTCATGAATGTGAATGTTGGGGTGGTCATGGTGAAACCTGTAAAGGGGGGCAAAGCTATGAATTATATGTTTTATTTTTATGCTCATAAAGAGAAACAAAGCTTTTTTCAAATAATAAATATCAGGAGATATTTGTGGTCTGTCCAGCAGACACTGACTTGATGGCACAGAGTGCTCTGACTAAAAATTAGCTCAGTGGCCTCAGCACCAAAGCAAATCTGACCACCTGGGCTTAATCTTTTCAAATTACCATAATTAGCCATCGCTTAATATGGTATCTCAGTAAGAATTGCAGCACCCTACCTTTTTTAGTATTGCTAGCAGTGAGGCTGAGAGCAGCACGATGAGTGCAGAGATACCGAGGCTGTAAATTAAATCACGCTGCCTGCAGACTCTGGTCAGAATAATTGATCAGTGGGATTGTTAATCTTTTTATTTCAGGAAAAATCTCTGGCTTTATCGATCATTTCCCCTTAACGTTTAATAACAGCTTCCTATTAGAAACAGCGACCAGGCTGTGACATCGTGGCTTCTGTGCGCTTTAACGAGCCGAGGCTAACCAGTCGGTGTGAAAAAACAAATGTAGCCGTAAACAGGGGTGAAATCCGTTTGGTTCAGATTAACATACATTTACTTCCATCGTTACATTTTTCCATAAATAAATGGAATAAATAACGCCTGCTATTACCTCATATCTGGTCTATTTATTGCGACTGTGTTCTAGATTCAAATGAAGTTAAAATGTACATCGACTTGGGGGAAACGTCTCGGCTGCTTTGAATGTTTAATTTTAAATCATCAAAATTGAAAAACGATTGCGTATAAGGCGCTATTCTTATTTCAAAAAGATTGTGTTACGATGAGGATCAGGCCATAAACAAGCACCCTCAGTGCTGTGAGTTTTATTGGCAATAACATTTAATTAGAGCCAAGAAAAGTCATAGCTTTTGGCCTGGGACTCCTAGCAGGCAATTTTCACTGCAAATGTTCTTTTTCTGGGTTTAAACTTGCTGAGGCAATGAATCTGCTTTTTTTGTTCATTCTTTCTGGTCCGATAAATCGTTGAGGTATAGCCTATGCAGAAGCATGCACGAAAAGTACTTTAAACTAAACGTATGGAAATTAACAAAGATACTAAATAACTATTATTTGTATTTCGTAATGCTCATTAATCTTGCTATTTGTTTTGAGGCCGTTTGAGATCATAGAATCAATATCTTGCAAGAAAACATCACGTGGCGTTTGAATAAAATTATTTATATTATCTTTATTTGCAAAGTATGAAAGTAAACATGTGTTATAAACTATTCATGGACATAATTCATTTTTTCTTATAGATATATTTTATATTGTACTGTAGGCCTAAAATCAATGAACTCTCCGAACTTTCTTACTGTGAAATAAGACAATGGCGCTGCTGATTCCAATAAATGTCAAGTTTTATTTCAAAAAAAATATTCTCCCTTATAGTAGAAATCCATATAAAAATAAAGTCTTTCCTCGCAGGCTAAACTGCCCATATAGGCTAATGTCTTTGCTTTAACTTACCTTACTTTTGAGATCTACTTAATTGAGTATAAACTGGACACAAGTGTCTGAACTCAAATGAAACATGTTGAAATATTTTAATAGCTCAAGTTTTGCAGGTCGATTGTTGTGAATGTTTCTGAGAAAAGGTCAAAAGTTTCGGAGGATAAAGACAAGGGACTATGTGCAGAATCTGACAAACTTGGTGAGAAAGAGGAGGAGGAGGAGAAAACGTGGAAATCCTGCAAAGAGACGTCCAGGCCCGGGGAATTATCATTGTCCGGGCCTATTGTTGACACGCAGATAGGAACAGTGGGTGCCGGGTTAGGAAAATGTTTCAGATTTTTCTCATTGCTGTTCAAAGCGCTTTGGTTGTCCCCATTGTGCCCGTTCATACAATGTTGTGAAGTTAAGGTATTTTGGTGGAAATACCTCTCCCTCTCCAGGAGCGTCCCCCCGGCTACACTGCTGTCTTCCTCCTGCTCAAACTCGTCCTCCTGCCCGTCGTCCAGGCACGCGTATTTCCCCTCACTGTCCCGGTTCTCCTTGCAATGGGTCTGCTTCTTGTGCTTCATCCTCCTGTTCTGAAACCACACTTTCACCTGCTTCTCTGTTAAATCCAGCAAAGCAGCTATTTCCACTCGCCTCGGTCTGCACAGGTATTTGTTAAAATGAAACTCCTTCTCCAGCTCCAGAAGTTGGGTGTTGGTGTACGCAGTCCTCAATCTCCGGGATGACCCTCCTAGCTCTGGCTCCTCTGGGGAACCTAAACAAAAATAAACAAGTTTTTTTAATCAGAGAAATGCTGGCAAAAAATAAATAAAACAGCAACAGAGTTGAGTGTGTATATGTGGAGGAAAACAAGCCGGGGAGAAAATTGTGGCAAGCAAGCGCCGGCAGTGGGAAGATTTATGGGCCCCAGGCAGAATATGATGGGTCTGCTTGGACAGGACAGGACGGAGGGTGAAGATTAATGAACATGCCAGCTGCTGGCCCGTGTAAGAATAATCTATCACTCTCCATTACTGTCAAACATTAACACTAGTACACTGCATCACAAGTCAGTGCGTTACTTGATGAGATTAAGCATGTTTAAATCAAAATCCTACACTGGTTTAAAGGGATGCCCGTGTTGCATAAGGCCCGCGATGCAGCTCATGCTGAGGGGATTCCTCAGACAATGAGGAGCCTTTTACATGGAGGTTATTAATCATCATGTCTTGCCTTGGGGGGAGAAGTAGAGTGGCGAGGAGTCAGTCGTTGTTGCAGAAGAAGCAGCAGCAGCAGTCGGGTGTCTCTTGATGCTTTTTTTCTCCTTCATCCACGGGTACTCCGGGGGAAGGGATGCAGCCTGCAGCGGCTGTTTTGCGCGGCTGTGGCGTGGGTGGATGCCCGGGTGCAGGCCGGGGATGGTCTGCTCAAAAGGAGGAGGAATCAGTGTCGACTGTGAAAGCGCCGAGCCCTTGATTGATGAACTTTGAAATGCATCACCGACAGGGTTAGTGAGAGATGTCAGGCACTCAGCGAGCGACGGCTGGCTGTTGATAAAACCACTTTCTCTCCCAAATTCGTAATTCATCTCCTCCTCCTTGTTTTGAAAATCTCGCTGATTTAAAATTAACTCAGATTAATACGCCGTTTATTATCATAAACGACTAAACTAGATATTGTCGTATGGAGACCTCTATGCCATAAACTATTGCCTTCATGAGGACATCGTTGGAATTAGCCCGTGCTACTTGTCACATGATTGCATCTGCCCAATGACAATTTGGGTTTTTTATCAAAAGAAGCCACTGTCCCCTGTGATTGATCGAGAAAGTCTGAGGGGTAACGCCTCATTCCAGGGGTAGGGGTTGCTTTATTTACACATTTTTTGGGGTCAGTTTGTTCACTTCTGCCCCCCGCCCACAGAAAAACGTGCCTTCTTTGCATGTCCACGCAGTCTGCCTTGCGAGTTACGTGCATGTGATTTGTGATGTGGGTGCATGAGCATTTATTTGTAGCGTGGCACTCAACAAATCATTTCATCAGTCACATTTGTGTCTCATAATGCAGCGACGCCCAATCGATATCAGGGCCATGGGCGTTAATCTTGAGAATCTCTTGGAGGTTTGCTTGGAGAGAAAAGGCTGCACCAGACATTCAATAACATGTCCACCCCTCCCCCAACACACACACTCACACCGACACACACACCGACACCGACACAAACACACACACACACACACACACACACACACACACACACACACACACACACACACACACACACACACACAGGAGAGAGAGAGAGAGAGAAACAGAGGGATGACAAAAATGACTGTTGTTTAATAGATGTATAATGTGAATTTGAATGATATTGACATCAGATTCTCGCAGGGGTTTTTTCTCACAATTATTTAATCTTCTCAGTACATTATGGTATTTTTGGTAATTTGATCATTTAAGTCTTTATAGGAAATCTCCTGTAAAAACATGATTTTGTGTCAATGCAAGTAAGCAGTTGGGTTATTTAAAGGGCATTCTCACTATTTTACAGTTTATAGCTCCCTATATCCCACATCCCATTTCATTTATTTTATTTCACCTATAGGGATAATGTTGACCTAAGCCATCATCCTTACACCTCAGCATTATTGGTTATAACATAGCGGAGGGTAGACATGATTTGCCACTAGTGTGAGGCAAAGGAAAGGTGGGGATCCGATGGCTGTTTATTGCTCAGGCTCTAAACAAAGAGCCCTGGTAGCCTGTGTGTGATCAATCTTTCTCGCCAAAAGGTCTGACAGCTCCCTGCCCTAAGAACACATTTAAACCATCTAACACTCCCTTAGATCATATATGGCCAGGAAGAGGAGAACCACTCTCTAGCTAGGCTGTAGAGGAAGTTTTCGATTTAGAAGTGAAGGGATTTTTTTAAAGACGGATGAGACGCACGGCCTTCACGCACACAATATTTTTTGCACACTCGCTCGATAATAAATCAGAAATCCCTCTGAAGACGAAAATCGGTAGTTTTTCGATTTTTAAAAAGGACTATACTGGCAGAAAAAACATTAAAGGACTTGGTTCGTGGTATAGAAACGAACGGAGCAGCGTTTACATAGGATCAATTGTTTGCAGAGGTGAGTGGGTGTTGGCATTCAGCAGAAATCCCATTCAGTCTCATACCTTTCTCTGCATCAGATGCGAGCCGGTCTTTCTCTGGCCTGGTAGACTTCTAATAATTACATTTTACCACATTTGCTTGAAATGTTTATTTTTACTTCATATAACTTATTTTGACCTATGTTTTTTTTTTAAGGATGTTCACCGAATTTAATAACGTATGTACTGTGAGGTAAATCTCACAGCCTATAATATTTGCTTATAATTTAACTGAAGATGATAATTAATAACAGACTTAGAAATATGTTTTTAATTTAACCAAATTAAGCTCATTGTTAAGCATGTCTGGATATTGCTGCAAATTATTGTGTACACTTGTGTTAATTATCATTTTATTCTCATTTGTTAGAATATAAAATTAGGTTTTAGCCGATTGGCCAGATTTAATTCGACACAGGTGTAGAAACCAACAAGGATACAAAGAGAACAAAGAGCCTTGTGAATAGCAAATGCATCTCTACAATATGTATGATGAAAATGATCTGAACACTGCGTTTTGACACTTATTTAACGTTATATATTGCTACAAATATTGATTTAAGTCTGCTGTTTTCATGCGGAGATGTGCAGACATAAAGCCACATTTTGTTGCCTGCTGAACGGATGCAGACAGAAAGAAGATGGTGTCTGGATGTGAGGAGGAGCGGCGCTGCCCGTCTGTTCCGAGACAACAAGAGACATCTGGGAAGCAAGCAGGCCAAATCTGTCACCACTCTTGGTGCTTTTTTGGTAACTAAGAATATATATTTATAACTCGTAGTCTTGACTTTGTTTTGGAATTATTTTTTGTGAGTGTCATGCAAAATGTATGCCCGTACTAAAAATAAATATTTGGATACTTACAATGCCCATCTGTTTTTTCAGTGTTAAAACAATTCTTAATATATCGAATTGCAATTTAAAATGTTTCACATATATTTCATATTGATTTCCTCCACATTGTGCACAAGCAATTTGATGTACAATGTTGAAATTATATTTGGTTAAATTGGTGAGAAAATGCTTAAAAGTGTCTGTTATAGTTGTTTTTGTCATTATACCGTGAACACCATTCTGCCCGTGGGGGACAACTGTAAAATAAATACAGAAGTATTCAATCGTGCATCACCCTTCTGGAATAAACATTTAGCTTTGTGTGTGTGTGTGTGTGTGTGTGTGTGTGTGTGTGTGTGTGTGTGTGTGTGTGTGTGTGTGTGTGTGTGTGTGTGTCTAGGAAACAAAGCAGTGTTCATGACAGGATTTTCACATAACAGTTTTATTTATTGAGCCCCTGGTTTCATGAGCAGATTTGACAGATACTTCAGGGGCGTTAAAGGCTGCAAATCAAACTGTTCTGCACGTCGACATGTGCAGAAATATTGTGAAAAAATCAGAGATACTGTCATTTTGGGCCCTTCTTCTTGCCTCTCAGGAAATCAAACAAGACATGTAATGTTACATTTGGGATCATAAGAGTAAAAATGAACAACACAGCTTTAAGAGATATTCAGCCTTTTCGAGTGTCCTTGCTCAGTGCATGTTAAAGGCAGACATTGATGTTTTATCATTCACTGAGCAAATAAATCATTTCAAATTGAGGATGAGGATATATATCGAAATCCAGGTAAATGCATAAGTAACTGAGAAATAAGTTCATTTGCAAGCCAAGTCCAAATTCTAAAAGTATGTTTTCCTTGAAAACTGCATTAATCTGTGATGTTATTAGGAATAGTTTCAAGACATCTTCTGCAGTAATGTTTTAAGACCTTATAACAGAAACACCCTTACTATCCACTTTCATACAGCAGACCATTGGCAGTGAGATGGATAAAATAGACTCACATGTGCTCATGACTCTACTCCTCTGAACTTCTCCTCCAAAGTTCACTTGTGGCCTCCTCTGTCACCAGCGGTGTCATGAGGTTTGATGTATAGGGGTCTCAGGAGGTCACTGCAAACAGCGTCCAAGAAACTTTCTGTTTTTCTGCAGCATGCTCCTCAAATGGCTGTTTTCATGGAAGATTCATGCAGGATCACACAGGAATGCCATCTACGCTCTGAAGAGCATTAACTGAAGGTTTCTTAAGTGTAATATATGGTGTAATGTCACTATTTTATCATGCTTATCTTTACAGTTTTCCAAAAAAGGAGTAAGTGACTTAATGGTCTGCATGTGGGTGACCTTTGGGGTTGATATAGGGGGATTTGGATGAGGTTGAGGGGGGCATTATGGGAAACCAGGGAGGGAGGTAAGCTTTGGGGTATCTCTTACTTTAGGACCTCAAGTTCATCGCTCGGTTGGGATCCAGTACTACCCTGGGAGAAAAAAAGGGAAGTTATTGCATGCCAAAGGATTTATGTGTGAATGTGCCTGTACAAACTAATATGTACACATAGTTTAGTCATTATAACATAGTAATTTGATATAATAGTTATTGATTCCATGGATATAAATATGTATGCTTTTTTTTAAATACCTGTAGATGTGTGAGTATTATGGTATCATGCATTCCCATCACATATCTCGTATTCACAAGCATAGAGGGAACCATTTGATAAACTATTTTATGAAATACAGAATAAAGAAACCCCATGACAAACAAAATCCCACTTTGGTAAAAATAAAGATTTTTTAAAGGGAAATTTATGCCATGGGTGACCATAAAACGAAACTGAGCAAGATGGGATGTTTTACGACGAAAACGAGACAACTGCTGCAGGTCCGTAATAAAGGGGTAATGTTCTTGGTGTGCCTTGAACGCACCATCCAGTTTGAATACTTTTCTTCAGATGAGCTGCTGCCTCCACCTGCTGGCGGACAGAGCAAAGCAGCACCCAGGTCAGCGAGGAGCAGTGACACCACCATCAGGACACTGTGTTTGTCCTCATTTAAGATTGTGTTTGTTTGTATTTAATGTTTAATTTTCAACTTGTTCGTCAAAGTGGACAAAAAATAATGTATTTTTTAAACTCATTTGGAAACTTTTAAGAGTGTTTAACATGTTGTTGTGTTTGTGTGTGTCGGTTGTCCTGAGAGCTCTGCTGCAGCGACTAAACAACACGGATGTCTCTGCTTCGAGACAGACTAATGGTCGGTAGACGGTTGTAAAGGAATTAGAGGTTTTAAGACAGAGCCATCTGCAGTCCTGCTAGACCATCTGTGTGTGTGTGTGTGTGTGTGTGTGTGTGTGTGTGTGTGTGTGTGTGTGTGTGTGTGTGTGTGTGTGTGTGTGTGTGTGTGTGTGTGTGTGTGTGTGTGTGTGTGTGCGTGTGTGTGTCAGGCCTATCTTAAAACAATATCACATATTTGACTGTTTTCCCGGGGCTAATTAGAAATGCTGCTTTACTGCTGTCACAGAGCCTTCATGCTTTCCTGTTTTCGCACCTTATAAACAGTTGAGGCTGTGATCGAGGTTTATTGCAGGAGGGCATCCAGTCTAGTTTGTAGGGCGCTAAAAGACCGAAGATGTCCTAAAAGATAGTGCATTTATATATGAAAGGATTTAGATAATAATTGTGTAGAAAGTATCTTTAAATGCTAAAATGGGTTTCGCTGTTGTTTAATTTGCCCTGACTCTTTCGTGACTTTGTATTTGAATTGTGCCTGCGCTGTGTGTTGTTGGGTTCCACTATAGTCTATCGGTTCTATTTATGTAAACACATTTAAATCGAAAGATACAAGCTTTTTCAAATATAATTTCCATTTTCAAATATTGTTTAAACAGGAGGCTCTTTAAAAAGGACAGTGTGTGTATTATAAAGTTATTGACCATGTTACAATCGAATGAAAATCCCTGTCTTATTTTCCAAATATTATTATTTTGATTTATAAATATTATCATAAGAAACTTACTAATACTTTAGGCCGGTAAGGTTCCCAAAAACACATTTCTGAGAGAAACTATTTGTACAGGCCTCAGGATTGTCTTTTTCTGTGGGTAATAGTTGGAATGGTTACAAGAGAGAAGAAGTATAATATGAAAACAATTTCACATTTTTTCATCTTGAAATAAATTGTTTTAGTTCAATTAATTTTCAATGAAACAAGTAAAAATACTTATTATTTGAAAATAGTTTAGAATTTATTGTGGCGAACACGGCAGTAAAATGTGCTTAACAAATAAAAAAAGGAATTAAAGAATAGAGAACGAAAAATAGTATTTTTCAGTACAATATTCTTTATAGTCTATATTTAGTTTAAATGTGCTATAAATACGCAGTGTGTTTCACTGTTAAACGCAAAATGATACCAAATGAATAAGTCATATTTACTTTCTGTGCTATATACAAACTACTTTTTATTTTTGCATGAAACAAGGAACGGATGAGGTATTTGAAGTGTGCACAAATGGAACAAAACAGACGGATATAAAACATCTAGATTGCAAAAACAATAACTTAAACAATGCAAATAGGTAGCTGAAATACATTCAGGTAGTCAAGGATCATTTCATGCAAATAACAAACGACCTACTCACTATTTCTGTGCGTCAAATACAACACATCTAAACTCTGACGAGACGCTTTGTCCTCTCACAAACATGAAACACTGGACACCATAGTAAACAATAACATCCAGCATTGTTTAACTACACAAACTTTACAACAACATGTGTAACAGGTCAGGAATATTAAAGACAGACTCCCCCTCTCCCCCCTCCTCCCCTCTCTAATCCAGCATCAGTCCAAAGTTAACTGTCTCTCTGCCGGTCTTTGTTGTCTTTCTTCATCTTCATCCTGCGGTTCTGAAACCAGATTTTCACCTGTCTCTCGGTCAAACTCAGGGCTCTCGCTATTTCGTATCTACGATCCCGGGGGAGGTACATGTTAAACAGAAACTCCTTTTCCAGTTCGAGGATTTGGTACTTTGTATATGGACAACGCTTTTTTCTGGTGGGCTTTGCATGAAGCCAGTTGGACGATGGGTTATCTGGAAACAGGGGGTCAAAACCGAGAGACAGGAGAGTTACTCTCAGAATACTCAAAAACAGGACTGCTCCTGTGGATTAATAGTTTGATAAATACATGCTACGCCCGACAAGATTATTGAAATATGGACAATCTTTGCTTATTCAACATGAGGATAGAGCATCACATGACATTATTTATTCCTATGAAGGATGATGCAGTGAGGGGTGACCATCCCATTGGAGAATAGTCTTATCTCATTTCACAAAAGACCATGTCATTCCATTAAACCATTACATCTCTTTGAAACACTATCAAATATATCTATGTTTATAAATGACGTCCCAAAAATCTCCCAATTTCCAAGCTAACGCCACTTTCATTCACCTAAATGAGTTCATAGAGTAAGGAGAATATAATAGAAACTGCATTGCTTACTTGCTTCTATCTCCCTCTTGAGATCGTCCTCTGCTGACGGGCTCCTTTCAGTGGCTTTAGACGTGGATGTGGGTTGGCAGGGAATCTCCACAAGGGACGCTCCGTTTTCAATGTCAGACAAAAGAGGTGTGTGCGTCTCCAAAGTTGTACATTCAGCACTTCCAATCCGAGGCTCGGGTTTTATCTCATAATGCATGGCCGTCGACGGTAATCCCGTCAAACACAGGGACGCAGAGACCGGATCCAACGCCCAGGAACGCGTAAACATACCATCGCTGTCCCCGTTGGTGTAGTGGTGGTGTATATAGGTCGGAGTGGCTGTGTTCGGAGGGTGGGTCGAGATGGGACTCCAAGATCCACCAAAAATAGAAGATTTCGCCTGCAAAGTGCAAGATTCCTGTCCGCCATATTCGGTGAGCATCGCCTGCTCCACCCCTGCAGCTGACGAGTACCTCGGTGCCATATCTTCCTGCTCGGGAAGAACAGGAGCCTCAATGTAATAGCTCGTTCCCAACGTCGACATTGCAGAAATTCAAAAGCCCAAAAATATATATAAACCGCGTTTACAGGCTTGCAATGTTCAGATCATTCAGATTCATTGCACATAAAGAGCTGCTTTCCTGCACCAGCTAGGGGCTCAATGCGTCCGGTAAGTTGAACCTTGCCCAAGACTGGATAGGGCGCCCCAGACACGTGACCGTGGGACAGAACAATAAATAATAAATCAGCCTGCTGCTCAACTAAATGGCCACCATTTTCCCCACCATATTTTAATAGCAAGTCCACGCTTCTTTATTGGCAAATATTTCGTTTTATAAGCAATAAACGTTATGATTTCTGCCAAGAGATCGTATGGTGGTGTAATCGAACATAGTTGAGATATAAATGAGGACACACACACACACACACACACACACACACACACACACACACACACACACACACACACACACACACACACTAAAAAGCCTCCATTTGCGAAATCACCAAACAACCTCCATTTCAAAATGTGCCTTATGGGATTATTTATTATATGGAATTGATATTAGTTTATTGGCCTCCATCTTTAAAGCTCTCACTTTGGTAGACGTTACTAGTTCTTGTTAGTGGTTTTTGTATAACACATTTCAATACTTTTTTAATTAAATAAAACAAGCAGGAATGTGTTTAAAACATAATTTGAGTTTAGAATATCAAGAAAGCATTAAGAGACAGCTTCCGAGATGCGCATCGCTGGGTCTGTAGGATTATGGTTCTACTTTAAAGGCAATCTAAAACGGAAAGTAGGGTGGGTTATTTGGGTGCTATATAACAGTCCTTTTTATCACGGGCAATTGGGTTGTTTTTCTTTGGGTTACAACCTGGCTGTCTAAGCTAAATATCACCAATAAAGCTAAGCCTTTGTGTCCTTTCTCTGGAACTAGCAGACGCATCCGGCATTTCCTACGGCGAGGCAACTGGCAGACTGCAATGATCATAACCGAGGCCTTGTCTGTCCTTTCCGCCTCTCCTGGACACTGACAAGCCATAATCCTTTCATTTCACAGCTTGCATCCTTACTTTCGCCTGTTGGATCACATAGAGACGCTCAAAATCTTTTGCTAGGGTGTTTTAAATCACAGACATGGTAATAAAAAAGGTTGTATCTCTAAGATTAAATGTAACATACCTTGAGATACATAAGAGAAATTGGCTTTATAATGAAAACTCACAAGATAAAACGCAGATTAAAAGTTCATTTTACGCACAACAATAAAACACTTTATTGCACTTCTTTTTCAAATTATAATGTGATTTGAAGCAGTCTGTGAAAAATGATTAACACAAATCGACGAGTAATTATAAGGGACTCACTTTTCATGATGCGACGAGTTTTTACTGTGGTAATCAAGACAGTTTCGTGTTGTGGGAGAAATATAAAAGCCCAACAACATGAGACTACCTAAACCACTCAACAGCCCGCTCTTCTCTTCAGCAATATCTCTTATAATGTGTGTTGAAGACAATATGTAGTTTCTCAGTATGGCAGGATTAACTGGGATTTTTGTGGAAATATTTAAAGGCGAAAAGAAGATTTGAATCGTGATCCAACGAGTGCGGCAATTCACAAACAGGGATTAGTTTTGCTGCTTCAGTCCAAGGCAGTCCTCATGCGTCGCTACCCAAACCTTCAAATGAAGAATTTTACCTTTGTAATTGTTTGCCCCACTTTTTAGAAAAATAAAACAATTCTGAAATACATTTTTTTTTTTTTAAAACAACACCGTTCCTCCATTCGTTGCGTAGTTTAAAATGAAGTCTGATGTCAAGGACAAAAGGCAATGCGATGTTCACAGACGCCAGACTTCAATTAGAGGCCTAAACTATGAAAAACATCACCCTCTACAGTAAGGATATTTACTGCACACAGACCAGACACTTTCCAAAACACAAAGGCATTAGCACCATGCACTCTACCTGTGCCAACTTTAAGATTTAAAAAAAAAGCGCAGCTCCTAGCATGCCCTTCATGAATGAAATAAGAAGTCTGCAGTTGCAGAGATGGTTTTATTAATTTTACCAGAAATAAATGTGCAAATATTCATCAGACCTCTTGGGCTCTTTAGTTGGCACATAAAGGTACATGTAACTGTAACACAAGTGTCCCAAGGGTTAGTCCAGCATGCACATTCCAATGGTTCACTCAGGTTGACTATACACTACACGCCTGAAACTCTGAAACATTGTGGTCACATTCTGAACATTTTAAACACAATGGATCAACGTTACAAATGTAGCCATTTATAAATACATATCCACGACAACAACAAAAAAACAGACGTGAAAACAAGAAAGAACAACAATCAATAAGTTAGCAGTAGGGTCCTTGTTTCCATGGACATTCTCACAGTAGGGTTGGGAAGGGGGGGGGCTCTGCAGGCGCCCTTGCCATGGATGGAGGAGGGCGCCAAAGACGCAGACAGTCTCATGAGAAACTGAAGTTGCCTGAGAGCTCTCGGATCCTATTCTCCCGGCTCATTTTTTTCAGTTTCATCCTCCTGTTTTGGAACCAGATTTTGACTTGCCTGTCAGAGAGGTGCACACCGCGGCTGATCTCCAGACGACGCTCTCTTGTCAAGTACATGTTGAAGAGAAACTCCTTCTCCAGCTCCAGAGTCTGGTGCTTGGTGTAGGGGCAGCGCTTCTTTCGGCCACTCTTAGCTGTGAGCCAATTAGCCGTGGTTTCCATTTTTCCATCTCCTACAATGAAAATGAAACATGGCATTAGGCAACAGGTGTATATTAACTCACGTCGTAGAACAAAAATCCTTATAGCTCTGTAGAAATTATGGACCAACACAAATCAAATACAAAACAAAGAAGTCAAAGTTATAAAATAGTTTTAACTACAACAGGACATTTGGAATATAATTTTCTTCTGTTAAAATGACACCTACATGTCTGTGTAATTACTGGTTTCTGTGTTAGCTCTAATTTGTACAACCATTTTACGCACAGCACCTCTCTGTAGATATCTATAGAGCTGCAATTCAGCATTTTACCAGAAACTACCTACCCCGTTAAGCAGCCTATACTGCTCTTTATTAAGACATCAAACATATCCTGCACAGACTGCTGAAATTATAGAAAGGCCTGCCTTTGATGAGGGGATAACTGACAACTATGTCCTGCACAGGACAAATGGACTGGTTTGTCCTTAGCAATGATAATGAAACCCTGACGATATTTAAAAACCCAATAACAAATAATGCTATTTTTAATAATCTACATTTCTTTGGTGGCTGTTTGAATAGCACAGTAATAAACTGCACAGCCTGTTTGTGATCTAAAAACAGTTAATAAAGCACAATGGATCTGCTCCGCGGCTCTTATTTGTTAAGTCACGTTCAATTTCGTCTCATACCCGATAAACCAGTACCCGTTAAGCACACTTGTGAGCGGCAGGCATTGACCTACATGTTAATACACGAACAGACTATCAGTACTCAGGCTCATGCATTCCTCTGAGGTCAGAAATCATTGGTTAAAAAAAACAATGGAAGCACTTGGCGTGTGCATTTTTTTTGCAACATATGTCTACATTGTTTCACAACTCTTCACCTTTTACTGGCTTTTCCGGACACTCAGTACTGCACGTCTCCTCGGGCTCAGGGGAGGAGGAGATATCCGAGGAGAGGCGGCTGTCCTCGTCTCTGGCCGGGGCGCAGGGTTTGGGGACAGGCGCCTCCTCGTGGCTCTCCCTCCGCTCCGGCTCAGCAGAGGCAGCCTGGGGCCGGGAGGGCTGGCTGTCCAGGCGGGCAGGACGCTGCAGAGTAAAGTGATTCATGTTTGGCTGGACATCATGGTAAAGCCTAGAGGACGCGTATGTCTGAGACAGGCGGAAGTAGCCGGGGACTGGCAAAGTGCTGCCGGTAACCGGGCATGATGCGGTTGAGTAGTCATCTACTGTGGCTCCTTTTGGACATTTGTCAGACTCATAGAGGCAATAAGCGCTCTCCTCTTTTATATTCGGTGAGAATGAACACTGTGGCATATGCTGGCTGCTGGGCTGATCCACCCGGCAGGATCTAGACGTTTCCAGCCACGTTTCCATCCCCTGAACATACGGGGCAGAAGAAGGGATCACGCTTTGGGTGCTTGGCTCGTTGCGTTTACCGATTCCCGGGAAACACGAGCCTCCGGAGAGTCCATATGAATATTCCGACGCCGGTGGCAAATAGACCCCGTTACTTTGGTAATATGAACCGCTGTCGGTTCTCACGTTAATTAAAGAGTCCACGAAAAACGAATTTCCAGCTTGGTTGTTGGGGCATGTCATCGTTGTGGTATAATTTGACGGAGGATGAAGATAGCCCTTTCTGGCTGACATTTCTTGTTCAAAACATTGCTGAATAATTACTGATACTCACGCTTCTCACTGTAGCCTGCAGCCAATTAAAACACCAGGCGACTACAGACTCCTCCCAGTCCGGCCAGGCAGCTCCACTGTGTCGTATATTTTGTTTTAGGCTACGTAAGAAAGAAACTGTGGAGGGAAAGTGGTGCATCAGAGGGTTTTAGGTAAAATCTTTAAATCTCCCTTGAATCTCACTTTCGGTGCCTCGATTCCCAGCTATAAGCCCAGAGCTGCATGTGTGAACTTAACAACAACTCCCTGTTTGACAACTCAGTTGTTTAAAGCTGTTCCTAACAATTATGTACAATGCATAGCTTTATGGCCAGTTTTACAGCACTGTAAAAATGAAGGGTTCTAGAGGTGCCTCTGAGAAGTGCAGGGTGCATTCAAGATCCAAAAGTCCTGTGTGACCCTTTGGTCCAGGGACACTTAACCCTTCTTTTGCTACTCTGATGAATATTATTGGATTGTTTGGACTTAAAATTCCTTGTGGACTGTTTAAAAGCAGTTCACACAGTTTCATCTCGCCACGTTGCTGGCCAAACCAGAGAAAAAAAACTCATCATTGTGGTGTGAATTGTGGGTGCAAATGTCATGATTGCGTCCAGACACCTTAAACTGAGAAAGCTGTGTCGAGCATGTGTGACATGCAGGCCCAAGGGACCGCCTTAACAATGCCCTGGAGCTAGCTTTTTCTTGATAGTCCTGCCACACAATATTGGCAAGACTTCAAGACATGTATATCATACTACATGCATAACACTAGAACAAGTTCATCTGTTGCCCCTTTTTCCACTGGGACTGTTTATTGAGAAACGCACGAACGCTGCGAGGCCTATACACAGAATCACCATTTTCTAAATTAAAAACACCTGCCAAAAGGCCTACATTTTAAACATGAATGAAAAGCTCGAAGCATATTTTTAACTCGTGTTCAATTCGTTTTTTTTTTTTATACCAATAAATATCTTTGTTCATCTCTTTATAGTTTGTTTCCTTTGTTTAATGAAATGTTTGACACAACAGGCCTATGAGAATAATATAACGACATTTGAATGTAATTGGGCCTAATATTAAATAGTAGACATTGCAAGTCCTTGAAATAAACAAATCTGATTGCTTTGTAATACGAGTAACAAATGGATAAAAAGTTGGTCTTCATTATATTAAGAAACAAACGTGTAGGCATAAACACAAATAGTCAGCCTGGAATACTATAACAACTTTAATAAAATAAAAGATAAACCCATGCTTCCTTATAAGACCCTCAAACGGTTTAGGAGTTTACAACACAGGCCTACAGATTTAAATCCGCGTAAAGATGTATCCAAATGTGGGGGAAATACAACATCGTCTACCTCCATTTTCCTTTAAGCCTGGAGCCATAAAGTCTAGATATCAGAGTTTATGTACAGCCGTTTTATATGGCGTGAAACCTGCAGCATGTCGGGCTGCAATGGAGGATAATAATCATAAACCCTCATGGATTGTTTGAAGTATCAGTTTGCGCTGCTCTTGTATTATATTCCCATACAATTTGTATTTGTATTAATTCAATTCATTTAGTTTAAGAAACGTAAAAAATAAATAACGAAAATATCTAACATCGTGCGCAATGACACACAACAAGCTGCATCCTTAATGTACCTATGGTTCTAAATTTCACAGGTTTAAAATATTTTGTTTACATGACAACAAAACAACATTAATCCAATTTATAATTTAGAAAATAAAGTATAATTTAGGTTTGAAACGGTAAGGGGGTTATACAATTTAGTGAACCACAGAATACTTGGAACACAGGCCCGCGTGATCTTATTTCTGAGGGCGAATTACTTGCCTATTACTTCAAACATGCAACCTGATAAATAGCCCTTGATCTAATGCTAAAAAAACAAACACATGCATTATTTTCTTGAGGAAATGTGGACAGAAACTCTTTCTTGACATAACATTTACTACATATTGAGTTTATAGATAAAGTTGAGGTAGGACAAACAAGAAAAGCAGAGCCACCTCCTTGAATCACATTAGGAAAACCTCCGTAGTCATAACACGAACATGATAATATGTCTGTACTTACCTCAAAAATAATATCGTGAGGTGGTGATGTATTTTAAAGCAGCTGAGCGGCGAGTCAAACTTCTTTTATATCTCAATTCACGGCAATGACATTGATCTGAGGAGCGCCACCCAGTGGACGAAGGCAACTGGGCCTACACTGCAACACAACACACACGCAGAATATTCCTACCACGGTAAGATGCTGAAACAAATGACGCCGGAAAGGTCCGTGATCACAAGCTTTCAATGCTTCCAGCCGTTGTTTTTCAGCCCCTTAGTCACAGTTAATAACCTTGGTCTCAGACGCTTTATTGCACTACACTCCAAATGCTCCAGACGAATCCTCGTTTTATGGCCAAGTTACTGGAGCAACTGGGAGGATGTGCAGCAATCAAAGAGGAATTCCTGTGAGCCTCACAGGATGCACGGTATAAGAAGGCATCGGGACCCTTATTAGCTTATTGCAGGCCATTTAAGTTGTTTCCAGGGGCCTGGTGGCGGATACAATGCCACCTCAAGACAACTTTTACCCATCTGTTTATGTGAGCTTCTTTGACCTTCCTTTACAGTTTAACATAAATCCTGATGGCATAAATAGATATTTGGAATGCGGCTGATGTGAAGTATTTGGATCAAACCACCACAATGAATAATTAATGACCATTCAGATTGACCTGATGATTATTATATTCATCTGGTGTTCGTCCACCCCTTTAGATGCCCCAATGTCAATGTGTGATGGCCCAGCTGACTCTCAGGGAATTAAATGAATAAAGTCATTCAGCAACAACCGACTTTGATGAAAGCGTGTATATGCACACAAATCAATTCATATTTTTTAGATGGATGCATTGCATTTATAGCCTATGCATTCAAACAAGTGTCAAGATTGTCTCAGTAAGCCCAACAGGCATGTTAGGTCAGAAAGCAGCCTTTTCTAATCTACCACGAAATGAATGAACCCTTTGTAATGGATATCAAACAATAACTGCAGCGGATCCCATTTCAAGCCATGAGGGAATAAAAAGCATCATACCTATATCATGCAGCTGATACGATCCACGTGCTGGCATATAAAACTAAAAATGAGATTACGTTTCCTTTGAGGGTTATGGTCTTTTATCATCAGTTTAATTTTTGGATGAAATTCCGGATTAATCCAACTTTATGGCCAAGAGCTCAACAAAGCGTCTCAGTTGAGGGTCAAGCGCAGATGTTTAATTTTGTCGAATATAATACTTAAATTGAATTAATTGGTATCAGATTATAACTCCAATTACTCCCTAACTATGAAACAATGACCGATAATATTGGTTCAAATTGATATAACCAATGTTAGGTAAAGTCTAGTAAATCCAGAAAATACACAATAGCTTTGTAATCACCGGGATTGTATTTCCACAATACATTTAAAATCATAATAGAAAGAAGAAAACAGGAACAATATTTTAGAACATTTCTGTCTGTAAAAGTTGTGCGTAAATCTGGAAAACAATTTAAATGTATAACAATTTAGGGGAGAAAAAAATCATGATTTTTCCTTCTTAAATTGCAGCAGAGTAATATCATTAAATAATACAAAGAAATGATCCGCTCAAGCAAACCACACACACTACCACATTACTCAAAAATGGTTGATTGGTCGGGCCAACCGAATGAAAGGACTATAATAATAATAATAATAATAATAATAATAATATTAATAATTAATAATTAATATGAATAATATGAATAATAATAGAGCCAACGGTGTTTAATGACAAAATAGTGTATAAATAGTGAAATTCTTTAGTAAGTTTGGCACATTCAAAACTCGCCATCCTGTAAAATGTGGACGTGTATGGTTGAGGAGTACATGTCAGTGACAGTCTTTGTTCAGTGTTTATAGCAGGGGGTTTGTGGTGTAGTACTGTAAACGGTCTCTGTTGAGTTTCTTCTCCTTCATCCTCCTGTTCTGAAACCAGATTTTGACCTGGCGATCTGTCAGATTGAGCATCCGTGAGAGCTGCATGCGCTTCTCTTTGTTGATGTAAACGCTGAAAAAGAATTCCCTCTCCAGTTCCCTGATCTGATACTTTGAATATGGACACCTCTTCTTGCGTGTCCTCTGGCCACCTGAAAGAAAAACAAATAGAAAGGCAAAAGGTCACCACATGAGATGTAATAGACACATTACAACAACACGCAATCAAAAGTCTATTTCCTGCTTGGAGTCAGCAGTGGTGGTCTACAAGAGCTTTGGAGGTCAAGTGTTTCTCCTCTCAGGCCTACAGGACCGAGATTTGTAAACAAAGACTGGGCTTGATAGTGGGACATGTTAGGCATGTCGGAAGTTGTGAAAACTTATTGAAATCTGTAAAACCATACCGGCTGCTTTCTGAGAGGTCGTGGGCCTAAACTAAACAGTCATGAGTATCGTGTATCTGATATGCTTGTATTGTCCGTTTGTGATTTCACTGTGCGTAAAGTGCTGTTGTTTTAGTGTTAGTGAGAGCAAGTTCCATGAAAAGCAGTTGTTCTAATAAATCCCCATTAATCCTGTGAATTTGCAAATATTTACATTTGAATAAGGAGCAGGGTTTAAGCCTCTGCTACAAAGTCACATTCGAAAGCTTCAGCAGCCCATCAGTCAACACAGAATAAATCAAATAAGAAATCCCAAAAATATTCACGTTAAAATAAATACATTATACATGGAAACAAATATGGGGAATGAATGTGTTTTAAAAAGTTAGATTGTTATTTGAGTAATGTTTTATAAATACTAACTGCCTTATAAATGAAGTTAAGTGGCGCACAAAAAAAGTGGAGATCTTGTTGGAAATCTTGGAAGACAAGCTTAACGCCAAAGTCTTCACGGCCAATTTCAATCTCAAGCACGTGATCTTGTCGTTTATAACATAGTTTTGTTATAGGGGAAATCTGCAGGCCCTCCATAAACCTTACGTGCTTATAAAACAGCATATAAAAAGCTTTAAGAGCAACGCGTTAGATTTTCTCCTTGTTGCGTTCAGCTGTGTACTCACTGCTGCCTTTGCTCTGTCTCTCATCGCTGTGGCCGGAGGACGACTTGGGGCTGCAGCTCTCCCCGGAGTCCGAGTCAGGGTGATCCGGAGCGGGGCTTGTTTTGGCGGCGTGTCTGTCCGTGTCTGCTGCATGTGCTGTGGGCGTTGTGCTGCACTCTGCGCTCGCATAGGCAGTGTCGAAGAACTGGTCAAAAGCCTGTGGCAGAACGCCGTTCCTGCCAACGCTGCCATAGAAGCCGTGCGTCGGGTTGGAGGAGCTGGAGTGGCTGGCGCTGGAGCTGCCTTTCACCAGGATCTCACCCCCCCTGGAGGTCGAGCTCGTCCAGCCGTCCCTGTGCACAATGTCCTCCGGGTAGCAGTGTGACAGGCTCCCCCTGCTGTGGTGCCATTTACTGGAAGTATCAAGCCCATAGTCTCTGAAAGCCACATCTCTGACGGACGGGACCTGTGGCAGTGCTGAAGACTGGTAGGGGTATATATTGGGGCAAGAGGACTGGCTTTGGGTTAAATAATGAGGGAGACCCGTAAAGTCTGCCCCGGAGACGTAGTAAGTGCAGCTCGGTAAATACATATTGGAGCTAGAGATCCGGTCATCAAAATCCATATTCTGCTGTTGGAAACGTCCTATAATAATCCTCGCATAGTTCCTCCACGGCGCTGCGCTCCAGTCACTTTGAGGCAGACTGGTGGAGCAGAAATCCTTAGACGTACAAGCTGACGTGGGGATCCATCTCTATCCATTCCTGAGGGCCAAAGCCATGTGACCACTGGCACAAAATGACAGATAGCCTACGCCTCAATGTGTAGGCTATATGAGTCAATGAGTTTATAAAGTAGACATTCGGCCGTATGGGAAAGGAAAAAATACTGCCAATGCATTTTACTCAGACACAATTTAGGCTGTTTTGAACACATTTTAGACACGGGTTTTATTTAGTGTAAATCCTATAGGGTGATTTGCTTATGGACTTTTATTGTCAAATCGCTACATTACAAAGGAAAAACAAAACATGCAATTAGATCCAATTTCACGCCAAGATGCTAAACCTTCCATTTTCTTACCTTTAAGTTCGTTTTAAATTCTAACCTCATCTTAACCCTAACCTTAACCTCTGACGCCTCACGCCTTTTAAAGACACGATTTAGACTTTGCTATGAGGCTTAATCCTTGTGGCACAAATAACATTTAATAGGCTAAAATAGAGAACTTGGTCTGAGCTTGAGGTCTTTTTTAAAGAAACAAGAGCACATGAGTCAATTGTATTGGAACATAAATCAAATCTATTTTCAGCAGATTGGCAGGTTATGAATTCTTTGTCTCTCGGGGTGAATTTAAGATCGCTCCCCTGGCTATAAATAGACAAATCTAGTCCACTGCAGTGGCGGAGCAATGCGAGTCATGCTGCACTTTTGTCAGGCATCCTTCCAGTTTGGCACCCGGCGACAAAAAGACAAAGGCCTGTAGGCTACAGACAGGCTTGGTTATCTCTTGTGGTTGCTATGGGCTTGTTTGGGTCAGCATTTTTGGGATCAGTGAAACATGCAAGCTCGACTCAGTTGCAGACTTCACTGTGTCCAAATGTACTTTAATTGCATGCTGATTGTTACAGTTATTACGCGTTAAAGTAGATACAAAGGGCCTGAAGCAGCCTGCTCGAAGTTAATGTGAGGCTAATGCGTTTAGCTTAATGTAAACACATGATGTTGTTTATAGGCTACGAATAATAAGATGCATTTGCCAAAGGGGCTCCAGTCTTTGCATGGCCTTTTCTTTCTTTGCAACGCCCAACATAAACCTTTAGACACGGGCTACTTCCCACACTGCCATCCATTTTCATTTGTCATCACTGCTGAGTAAGTGGACACACGTGTCACATACTGTATCTTTAATCCTGTTATGCGGCCACTTTTTAAATGAAGTTCAAAATCACTTTTTATGCATCAAAGCCTGTGCATGTGTCATGTGCAGGGACGCATTAGGAGAATGCAATATTTTATTCTGCCCAGGTGGTTTGACTTCAACGGTGAGTTGTTAGCCTACTTTGTGAAACAGTTATTCATGTGAAGATTAAAGTAGTTACATGATAGACTTGACAATTCTATGTTCTTTCTTTTATGAATGACCCAGCCTCTCGAGCGAAGCGTCAGACCAAGGCTGCATGGCCAAGTTTGTCACATTCACTCTTCTACGTTTTACAGCACAGTTTTCAAACAGATTCAACCACAAAAAAATATTCGGTTACACGATTAAACCCGAGCCATTGGGCGCATTCACCAAGTAATATAATTGAGACGTTTTCATTAGTATCGAATAGCTAGCAAGCGTGTTGGAAGAATGTAAACAGAAAGCTGCTAAACCTTGACCTCCAGCCGGTTGTCATAAGAAAAACAAGTAATATACATTTCCTTATTTGTAGATCCACTTTGGATAAGTAGCCCACACAATGATGAATCCATCTTATAAATTGCAATTAAATTATGGCTTAATACGTTGAACAAAAAGAGGTTAATTAAATCAACTTAAAAGACCAAAATATTTTGTTGATGTCATTTTCATTGCTTAGACACACGAAAGTCAAGGTTTTTTGATCGTTTCTTTTATGGTTCAGGTTAAGTTTAAGTATGGAAAAAAACATTCGGCCTTACTGCATCAGACCTCAGAATAATGAATGTATGATTTTTGTTTCAATAAAGCAGAAAGCAGAAGGTATACAAATAAATCCCGATCGACCAGTCACTGATTGACGATGTGGCTTTTAAAAGAGAGCTAAAAGGGATTTGAAAAATAAAAACATGTTTTCCTGGGTTCCTTGAATTTTCCTTCGACACTTTGAGGACTGTGGTTTAATTTAACTGCCTGAAAATCTATGTGTGCCTTTTCTCGTTCTGAGTCCATTTCGCAAGGGGCCATTTTATAATATTTAGGTGAAATGTGCTTGCTAAAATCAACAGTTTAAAGACCCAATCTCTAAAGGTATATTCATAGAATTTAAAAAGTTGAGCAGTCGATGGATCACAACATTTTCCATTTAGTTGAATTATTGTAAGCATTACTGGTGTAAACACAAGAAACATAACTAGTCATTTAAACTAGTTGGTTAACATTTGTATCGTGGATTATACATATTTAAGATTAAAAAAAAGTTCCTTCACTATAAATTATTCACGAGGATTTGAAAATGTTTTTTAGAGAGGGTGTATACTGCAAAAGTGATTTATTAACATCCATAGCTTGTTCAGTCAAATGGCTGCAAAGTTTTTCATAATACAAAATAACTCTACAGACAACATGTTTCTTTAAAAGTGACAAATACCGTGTTTTGGGGGAGAAAAGTAAGGCTTCTGAAGTTGAAACGAAAATTATCCCAGATTAGGTTACTTTATAATGGACTGTTTGTCACAGCCGTAATGATTTTAAAGGCAACAAACAAGGCAATCTGGATCATATTGTTTAAAGTCAATTATAGCACAACCGAAGAAAAGGGCACACGACATCTTATTTAGTTATAGAAGTTATTGCACGTTTTAAATCTTTTTGAGAAAACTAAAGAGAGTAAAGAAAAAAGATGGAGTCTGGGAGCAGCTAAAGGGGGGG